CATACACCCCCATACATCACCATACACCCCTTTACATCGCCATATACCCATATACATCACCATACACCCCTTTACATCGCTATATACCCCTATACAACACCATATACCCATATAGAACACCATACACCCCAATACATCACCATACACCCCAGCACATCACCATACATCCCTTTACATCGCCATATATCCCTATACAACACCATATACCCCCATACATCACCATACACCCCAATACATCACCATACACCCCTTTACATCGCCATATATCCCTATACAACACCATATACCCCCATACATCACCATACACCCCTTTACATCGCCATATACCCATATACATCACCATACACCCCTTTACATCGCCATATACCCCTATACAACACCATATACCCATATAGAACACCATACACCCCAATACATCGCCATACACCCCAATACATCACCATACACCCCAGCACATCACCATACATCCCTTTACATCGCCATATATCCCTATACAACACCATATACCCCCATACATCACCATACACCCCAATACATCGCCATACACCCCTTTACATCGCCATATATCCCTATACAACACCATATACCCCCATACATCACCATACACCCCTTTACATCGCCATATACCCATATACAACACCATATACCCATATACAACACCATATACCCATATACAACACCATACACCCCTATACAACACCATATACCCATATACAACACTATACACCCCTATACAACACCATATACCCCTATACAACACCATATACCCATATACAACACCATACACCCCTATACAACACCATATACCCCTATACAACACCATATACCCCTATACAACACCATATACCCATATACAACACCATATACCCCCATACATCACCATACACCCCTTTACATCGCCATATACTCATATACAACACCATATACCCATATACAACACCATATACCTATATACAACACCATATACCCCTATACAACACCATATACCCATATACAACACTATACACCCCAATACAACACCATATACCCCTATACAACACCATATACCCCTATACAACACCATATACCCATATACAACAGCATATACCCCCATACATCACCATACACCCCTTTACATCGCCATATACCCATATACAACACCATATCAACAACAACACCAAAAGCTTTATTTGCATGACCATAAAGGAATTACAGTATTGCAAAAGCTATTAATCTAAATTAAGTACTAATTCAACTAATTAGTACGTGCAAAACATTACAAAACGTGACAGTTCTCATTCATTCATTCATTGATATTAATTTGGTCCTTAATTCAAAGCATTGCGAGATAAATGAAACTAATTGACAGTTAATTAAATAATCAGAAGAATTCATAAGAAGAGATATTAAAGTATCGTGTGAAAGTGATTTGAAGTCAGGTATTTTAGTTTCTAGTTTCGAGAAAAATATGTCTCTGATCTGAGAATAAGCCTTACAATCTAGTAAGAAATGATTTTTCTTACTTGTACAAAAGTGACATATCCTTTCATTGCGAGGAATGTTTTCGTATCTACCCGTTTCAATTCTAAGTTGATGACTACTTATTCTAAATCTAACTAATGTTTTTCTCGAAGGGTTTTTTCTTGTTAAAACTAGGTACGGCGAGGGGCTATAGTCGTCTTTGATTGTACAATAAAAACTGAGTTTTTGTGATTGTTGAAGTGTCTGATTCCAGTAAGAGACGTATTTATTTTTCATTATGCCGATATACCTATTAACTATTGAGTCACTCAATGAATTACAGGAAAAGTCATAGTTTAGATCATAGTAGTCAACCATTTTCATGAGATTAGAGTAAAAGCTAGTTTTTCCGTTATGATGAAGGTCAATTGAAATTTGTAAGGCCTGTTTAACTATAGAATCTTCATCCTTACCTCTCAGATAGTCTAAGTAATTTAGAATCTTTTTATTTATATCAATGATCATGGGAAATTTACCGAGTTCAGCTCTACAAGCAATGTTGGATGCCTTGTTATGTACTTGTAAATAACGTTTACAGAATTGCAAATGGGTTTTTTCAATTGCAGAGCTGTCCCAGGACTTAAAATCTGATTTAACAAAAGCACCCCAAACTTCGCTGTTGTAGGTTAGAATTGGTGAAATCATAGAGTCAAAAAATTTTACACGCAAGTGAGGGCTTAAGATTATTCAAATCCGTGTGTCGCCTGAGGCTGAAGAGCGCGTGAAGAGCTTTTTGTCGGAGATGTTCAAGCGAAAGTGTAAAATTTCCAGAAGATGTAATTCGAGTTCCTAAGTAAGTATAGTTTTGGACAACGTCGATTACTTCATTGCCTATGCGAAAGTTATGTTCACATTTTCGTGTGCATCGTTGAAAAATCATTATTTTGGTTTTCTTAGGATTTATTCTAAGCACCCATGAGTTGCAATATGAAGATAGTACGTTAAGGCAGTTTTGTAGACCAAGTTTGGATCGCGATAATATTATCAAGTCATCTGCGTAAAGGAGAGAGTTGAGTCTGGTGCCATTTGGTAACACGAAGGGGTCTGATAAAACATTGTCAAATGAGAACGCTAGATCGTTAAGGTATAAGTTAAAGAGCAGAGGGCTTAAAATGCAGCCTTGCCGTACTCCTCTTGCGTATTGAAAAGATCGCGTTTTGTTATTTCCAATCCTGACAGAGCAGGTAGACTTCGAGTATAGACTCTTAATTAGACTATAAAACTTTCCTTGGACATTGATCTTAGATAACTTATAGAGAAGCCCATCATGCCAAACCGAATCAAAGGCTTTCCTAAAGTCAACAAAACACGCATATATTTTCTCCTTGTGACAATGGACATATTTGTCTATTAATGTTCGAAGTGTGAAGACATGATCTGCTGTTCTATTATTTGCTAGAAAACCAATTTGAGACTTGTGAAGTATATTAGTTAAGTCAACGTGCTTTAGAAGTCTCTGACTGAGAATTGAACAAAATAGTTTTCCAATACAACTGGAAATACAAATTCCACGGTAGTTTGATGGATCGCTTTTAGTACCACATTTAAAAATTGGTGTAATGAGGCCATCACACCACATTTGGGGCATAGTTCCTAAGTCGAGGACCGTGTTAAATAGTTTTAGATAAACAGGCATTAATTCGTTTAGGCTAGATTTGATCATTTCGTTTTTGATTTTGTCTGAAAAAGAAGATTTGTTGTTTTTGAGTTTTCCAACTGCAGTGCGAATTTCACTTTCAGTGATGAGGTAATCCAAGGAGCGAGATCGTGCCGTAATATTCTTTGAATTCTGCAACTCATCTATAATTGCCTCCTGCTGTTCATTAAGGGGTTCATTCGAGTGCAAAGATTGAAAGTGGGACATCCATTTTTCTTCAGAAATTGGAGGGGTGTAGGTTTCCTTCATAGTGTCGTCCATTGACTTCAAACAGTTCCAAAAGCTCTTATTGTTCGAATTTTCGACTGTATTTTCAAGTTCACAGATCTTATTGCTATAGTATTCGTTTCTCTTATGTTTCAAAAGGTTTTTATATTGTTTTAAGACGTTGTGAAACTCTTCTCTGAGGGTAGTGTTTAGAGGATCTCTATGTTTTTGATTAGAAAGTTTCCGCAGTTCATGTCTTTTATAGCGGCATTCTTTGTCGAACCATTTTTTGTTCGAAGATATTTTGCAACGTCGCTTTTTTGCTGTTTTGATCTTCAAACAGCGTTTAGCGGTTGAAATAAGAATATTTTCTACAGCATGAAGGTTCATGTCAACATTTCTCGTGATTGTTGTAGTATTCATAAAATCGTGGATCATTCTTTGAATGTCTTCAGACTGTAATGTAGCTCTAAATTTTTGTGACGAATCGTTTTCCCAAAAAAACGGTTTTGGTAGAGGAGTCAAAGAATCATTTATAATTGCCTCGTTTGATGAATCATTATCTAAATGACGGTTAACCTTAAGCCATGTTATTATTGGACTATGATCTGATAAACTGTTTGGCTCTTTCACTACAAAAGATGTTATATTTCGTAGCAAATCTTGGTCACATACGGAGTAATCAATGACACTGATTCCCGATTTACCATGAAATGTAGGTCTGCCTAACGAGTCGCCATTAATTCTACCATTTAAAATTCTTAAATCCGCGCTTCTACAAATTTCCAAGAGTCGTTTTCCGTGATTATTCAAATCATTGTCAAAACTTTTTCTTTGGGTGGCGCATAACGAAGATTCAGAAAAATCGTTTGTTATTATCTTATTACCTTCTTGACAAACACTGTCCGGGTGTTTTCCGACTCTGGAGTTAAAGTCTCCCATAATAAGAATTGAACCAAGGGAGGAGAATTTCTCGATGTCGCTTTCAAGCTCTTCAAATAGTTCAGGTCGAAAGTAGCGGGGGAATTGTATGGTGGAATGTACGTTCCACAGACATAAATGTCTTTTGTAGTTTTTGTGTAGCGATTACTAATTTTAAACCATAAAAAATTTGGTGATTCTTTTTGCACTGAAATCCAATCGTCAAACTTTAGTTTGTAGAGCAGAGCTAATCCACCCGAGTTACGTCCGCATTTTCCTGTTTTCAAGGTATCTGTAGTTACAATCTTGTAACCGTTTACTTCAACAGTCACTTTTTTCCATGTTTCGGAGAGAATTACGAAATCAAAAGAATTAATCATGTTTTTACAATCCAAATTTTGCAATTTTTCCCCTAATAATGTCGACGATAGCCCATTAATGTTCCAAGCGAAAAAAGATAATTTGCTGGGGAAACTTAAGGGCCCTGGCATATTGTATCAAACTTAGTACCTGAAGAAAAGAAAGCTTAAATCAGATATCCCGGCAAACTAGCTAACAACTAGCATTGAAAGTTGTGGGTTATGTATAAGATATTATACAAGGGTCTTAAAAAATTGGATTAAAGATACCAGTTCCTTTGGGATTTCAACTGCCGGGACTTTTCCAACAGCACAGTCGTTTCGGAGAGGAACAGAAGGAATCGGTCCCACTGCCGCTAAGTGAGACGGTGAGAAGCTCTGTACATTGTAGTGTTGCGGCGGAAAGTTCTGTTGCTGTTGCGGTGATTGCGGAATGTTGTAGGTGTTGTGACCGTTTTTAACAGCATTACTATAAGAGGCATCTCGCGAGGAAGTTGTATATGGGAAACGGGAAGGTAAAGGTTGTTGCTGCCGCGAAGTTTGGTGGACTTGGCTGTGTATGTTCCGAACACCATTGCTGGAGGGAGGATAGCCTTCCGAAGGGCTAGTGTGAAACGAGTGCGGCGAAGAGAGTGAGGATCGGTACAATTGGTTGGAGTTGGCGCGAGGTGGTTTTCCTCTACCACGAATGGCTGCTTTTAAGTTTGCTGCGAACAAACCAAGGTGTCTTTTTTTAAGATGTTTTCTGTCATGCAACACTTCAGTTCCCTTGGAGAAGATATTGTCATGATTGACTAGATGGACGTTTGGTAGTTTTGAGCAGCTGTCAATAAGGTTTGTGTTTATTTTGGATAAAGTATGCAGGGGAATGTCAGTTCGCGGCAAGAGAGTTGAATAAACGATTTTGGTCTTTGGGAACTTTGTAGATGCTTGAGTGATTAATACAGATATATCAGAGATGAAGTCGTCTATTGGCGTGGTTGTAGTAAGATCATTTGTTCCGGTGTGGATGATGATTAATTGAGGATGTCCAGCCGATTCTTTATCAATTTCATCTTGTAAAATAGCCCTTGCGTGTTCAATTTTGGGACATCTGAAGAATGTGAAATCTTGTGTTGGCTGAAAAAGCTTTCTTTTGTCGATAAATTTTCCATTCGAATCGCACAGAAAAACGGCTTTATTGTTTACTGATGCTTGGTTCGGCGGTGGCGCGATGTCTTGTGGAGTAGGTGGAGTCATATTTTCTGTGTTTGTCTCCGGGACAATTTCTTGCTGTGTGTTGGATAAGCTGTCAGATGTGTCACAATTCTGGAGCAGCGAAAACCTGTTTTCCGTGGGAATATTTACTGTAAGCTTTTGAGCTGCGATGGGTAGTCGAGATGCCTCACAGTCCGTATTTTTTTGTTCGCTGTCAGAAGTGTTTTCGGAGCAAGAAGACTCGGGTTGTGAGGAAGGGCTGGGGGGGTCAGGTTCCTTCGAGTTTTGCCAAAGCGCTGTCATTTGTTCTTTAAGGAAATTAATTTCTGTCATCAGATTATTTTGTGATTCTTGCAGGGCCTGATTTGCTTTGTCAATTTGTACGTGTTTCTTGTGGAGGATCTGGTTTTCATCTTGCAATTTTTTAATGATGCTTGATTGTTGAGAGACTATTTTTTGGAGTGATGTAATCTGCGAGGAAAAATCATTGAGTAGATCGTCAGATGATTGTTTTTGTAGCTTAATTAAGTGATCTTGTTTAACGGTTTTGTCTTTTAGCTGTTCCAAATCCCCGGTAGTGGTCATATGAAATTCTGTAAAATCTGCCTCTAGCTGCCCGAGTGTGTCTCGCATGGATGAGATTGTCTTTAAACGGGTTGGGGAGATTGTTAGTGTTTCAGTTGGCGATAAAGCTTCCGGTTTGGTTGTTGAGGGAAGTTCGGCATCCAAATTATTTGATGATGGGATGTCATCATCTCTGACAAATGTTATGAAGTTCGTAAAAAAGTTTTGAAGCGAGGCTCCAAAGAGAGAAACATCTCCAACTGAAGAGAGTGAAGAGAGAGGTTGAAGATCGCTGAGAGTGTTGACAATTTTCAGAATCACCGGAAATTCGAATTTGCTCCATTCATCATATTTTTTCCCTTGCACGAGGATCCTCCCAGTTGTACCAAAAACTGTAATGGTTACCAATTTTTCTTCGCCAGTGGATGTATTCATTGAAAGATGAATACAGATTTTATCGCACTTCGAGGTTGAGCTTGGGTTGTCTTGCTCTTCCCATATCACAGTATAATCGGTTCCATTTCCGGTTATTTCATAATAGCGAAATTGGAAAGCTACAATCCATAATAACAGGCGATCTTCAGATGTCGAGAAAGCAAGGCATCTAGCTGAAGGTTTATAGATGGAAAGATCGATGGCTTCAAAAGGAGCGGCCTTTGATTTGGCTGTAGGTTGATGGAACTTGTCCACTATATATCTATTTAGATCCTTGCTTGGGTGGATAGCTCTCACGTGCGGCGATTTGTTTTCGCTTTTTTCATTGCTTACCTCCAATGGATCTTCGTCCAAAACACAACTTTCGGTTTCTTGTTGCATTTGTTGAACAGATGTAGTTAGCTCGTTGACCAGGATATCAGAAGGAAGCAAAAAATATCATTTCTTGCCTCTCATGATAAAAACACATGCGTTCACTCAAATGTCAAATCAGACGAACCATATACCCATATACAACACCATATACCCCTATACAACACCATATGCCCATATACAACACTATACACCCCTATACAACACCATATACCCCTATACAACACCATATACCCCTATACAACACCATATACCCATATACAACACCATATACCCCCATACATCACCATACACCCCTTTACATCGCCATATACCCCTATACAACACCATATACCCATATACAACACCATATACCCATATACAACACCATACACCCCTATACAACACCATACACCCCTATACATCGCCATATACCCCTATACAACACCATATACCCCCATACATCACCATACACCCCTTTACATCGCCATATACCCCTATACAACACCATATACCCATATACAACACCATATACCCCTATACATCACCATAAACCCCTATACATCACCATACACCCCTATACATCGCCATATACCCCTATACAACACCATATACCCATATACAACACCATGTACTCCTATACATCACCATACACCCCAGCACATCACCATATATCCCTATACATCACCATACACCCCTATACATCACCACACACCCCTATACATCGCCATATACCCCTATACAACACTATATACCCCTATACAACACCATATACCCATATACAACACCATGTACTCCTATACATCACCATACACCCCAGCACATCACCATACATCCCTATACATCACCATATATCCCTATACAACACCATATACCCCTATACAACACCATATACCCATATACAACACCATATACCCCTATACAACACCATATACCCCTATACAACACCATACACCCCTATACATTGCCATATACCCATATACAACACCATATACCCCCATACATCACCATACACCCCTTTACATCGCCATATACCCCTATACAACACCATATACCCATATACAACACCATATACCCCTATACATCACCATAAACCCCTATACATCACCATACAACAACAACAACAACAACAAGTTTATTCAGTATTACCATTTTGTACAGGTGTTACCGATTAAAATAACAATAATAAACAGCTAAGTTTAAGGAAATATAGGTATGATGGAATAGTAGAATTAACTATGTTTCTTTCGTCTTTCAAATGCTTGAAAGATGAAATTAGCAGCTAGCCTGCTGATATGTGAATCAGTATTGTTAAAAAGAAAACAGACTTTATCATGGATATTGTAGTGTGTAAATAATGTATTTCGGTCGTTGATTTTAATAAAAAGAGTCTTTCTCAAATCATTGTATTGATCACAATGAAATAATATGTGCAGTTCATTTCAACCGAATTTTGGCTGCAATGATCACAGATTCTAAGGTCTTCAGGAGTTTTGGGGATTGTAAATCTTCCAGTTTCTATTTTTAAATTATGATTTCCTATCCTAAATTTGGAAGCTACACGCCTATGTTCAGGATTCCGGATATGATTGATGAATTCAGAGTGATTTGTTTCATTTTTAAAGATGGAGTAGAATTTTAGTTTTTTATTTGTTCTTATCAAATTTAGCTGGTGGTTTTTCAGATGTTTTGACAAAGTATTCTCAGCTTTGGATAGGAAAGTAGAAGGGTTTTTAAAGTTAACTGACTGTTTATGAATATTAAGTTGTGTACTCAAAAGATTTATTTTATTTATTAGACCTGATTTATTTTCTTCGGCCATTTTATCCGATATGTTTAAGCAGAGTTTAGCGATGCTGTCAGGGGGTTGATTTTCAAGGTGAATCCAAAATTTGAAAATGTTCATTGTTATTTGTAAATTTAGAGATAATCTACCAAGCTCATTTCTCGATGCAACATTCGGTGAACGTTTGTTTAAACCTAAACACATCTTACAAAAATGTATATGCGTTTTCTCAATCAAGTCTTTATCCCAGCGGCTATAATCACTTTTATCATAGATTCCCCAAACTTCAGAGCAATACGTTAAAATTGGGAAAAATAGTGTATTGAACAGTTTGTTGATGATGTGAATTGGTAATTTTAGAAAATCTAGATAACGACGAGCGGCAAAAAAGGATCTCTTTGTTTTTTCTGTTAAGTTTTCCTTGTGATTTGTAAAATTTCCATTGGCTGAAAATTTCACTCCAAGATAGGTATAGTTATTGACGATTTCAATGTTTTCATTGCTAACCATAAAATTGTGTTTATCTATTGCTGATTTTCTACTTTTCTTTTGAAATACAATAACTTTGGTTTTAGTTGGATTAATCTTAAGAAGCCAATCCTGACAATATTTTGATAGTCTGTCAAGACTTTGTTGCAAACCTTCTGCCGAGGTAGATATTAGAAGTAAGTCATCGGCATAAAGTAGACAGTTGAAGTGAGAACCATCTGGTAGTAAGATAGAATCTTTAGCATTGTTATTTAGAATGAGGGTAGTTCGTTTAGATAAAGGTTAAATAGAAGCGGCGACAGAATACAGCCTTGTCGTACACCTTTATCATAGTTGAAAAATTCTGATCGAGTATAATTGTCTTTCACACAACATATTGAATTTGAATACATGCTGGAAATTATTTTGTAAAAGGTGCCACCTATGTTATATGTTTCAACATTTTGTATAGGAAACCATGCCAAATTGAGTCAAATGCCTTTTTAGAATCAACAAAGCAAGTATAAAGTTTACCTCTGGGGGAGTGGGTAACATGTTGGTCTATTAATGTTCTTAAACTAAAGATATGCTCAGACGCACGATGTCCGGGCACAAAGCCAATTTGGGAGCGATGAAGTATTTTATGATTGTTTGAAAAGTTTAATAATCTCGTATTTAAAATAGAACAAAAGACTTTGCCAAGACAACTATTAATGCAAATACCTCTGTAATTTGAAGGGTCATCTTTGTTTCCAGATTTATGCAAGGCAGTGATTATTCCATTACTCCATGATGTAGGAAATGTTCCAGATTGTAGAATCAGATTAAAAAGTTTCTCAAGTGGATATTTTATAAAGCTTGAGCTTGTTTTAATCATTTCATTGCGTATTCCATCAAGTCCAGCGGCCTTCTTGTTTTTTAGTTTTTTAATTGCTTTATCAATCTCTTCAATGGATATTGGGTTGTCTAATTCCGATTGTAAATGGTTGCTGTCCTCCAAACGCTTTTTATCGTTTAACATGTGTATTTGAAATGCCGATAATGTATTAGGATCAGGTGCTGAGTGTAGCATTTTAAAATGATCATAAAGTTTATTGGTCGGGTTTTCGTTATTATTATTAAGACAAGATGTTTTCGTTCATTGACTTTAGAGTATCCCAAAATTTGCGGTTATTTTCGTTACTAATCAGCTCATTTATTTTAGAGTCAACAAATTGTTGTTTTTTTTGTTTTATAAGTTTTTTAAAGGTTTTATTTTGAACATGATATTCTTTTCTGAGTTCGGTATCCAGAGGATTGCGGTGTTTTTTGTTAGATAACTTTTTAAGTGAAGATCTTGACGTTTTGCAATCATAATCAAACCACTTCTTAGTAATTGGCTTTCTTTTAGATTTCTTTTGGCTACTTAATTTGAGTGAACGTTTTGCGGCCTCAGTCATAATGTTTGTGAATTGATTGGTAGCATTTTCAACATCTGTACTGCTTAAATCGAAGTTTGTACTTTCGAAGAGATGTAATAAAGACAGAATAGCGTCGGAACGAAAGGTAGCAGTGAATTTTGCTGCAGACGTTTCGTCCCAGACATACTGTTGTGGAAGCTTAACGTTGTTTCTCTCTTGAAAACTGTTATTATTATTTGAGAGGTCTGCACCAGTTTTGATCCAGCAGACAATTTGAGAGTGATCTGAAAATATGTTTGGTTGCTTTACGGCGAAACCTTGAACCGAAGTGAACAGGTCATGGCTAACGATAATATAATCTACAGTACTTATTCCATTAATAGAGTGAAATGTGAATTTTCCTAGGGTATCTCCCTTCGATCGGCCGTTTAGAATCCTTAGATCACAGGTTTTACAAAGATCAAGTAATTGTTTTCCATGATCGTTGACAATGTTATCAAAGTTCTGTCTTTTAGTGAGATTGGGTGGTGGAGGAATGTCTCCGCCAGGTATAAACTTGCCACTTCCATCCGTGATAAAATCATTTTCTTTTCCAGTTCTAGCATTAAAGTCACCGGCTAACACAATTAAACCTTTTCTGTGAAATAAAGCTATATCTGTTTCAATGTTGGAGAATAAATCTGGGTCAAAATATGGTGAGTCGTGGGGAGGAATATAGAGGGCACATAGATAAACATCTTGTTCTAAATTAAAAAACGTGTGATTTAGTTTACACCAGATATAATTATTATGTGATTTAACAAATGAAATGCCGCTTCGTAAATAATTCTTGTACCCTAGGACTAAACCCCCTGAAAGTCTTCCAGTTTTCTTTTTGTAAGTTTTTTGGGCTGCGTTTGAAAAAGTGTTAAAGCCAGGAATTTGCACGTCATCTTTCATCCAAGATTCAGTTAAAATTACAATGTCATGTTTATTTATATGATTGATGAATTCTTCATTTGTTAATTTGTTCCCAAATCTTAAACGATCAGTTAACCCATGAACGTTCCAGCAGCTAAGACTAAGTATTGATTTACGACTTACACTTAAAGGCGAACGGCAACCGCTGAAACACATACACCCCTGTACATCGCCATATACCCCTATACAACACCATATACCCATATACAACACCATGTACTCCTATACATCACCATACACCCCAGCACATCACCATATATCCCTATACATCACCATACACCCCTATACATCACCACACACCCCTATACATCGCAATATACCCCTATACAACACTATATACCCCTATACAACACTATATACCCCTATACAACACCATATACCCATATACAACACCATGTACTCCTATACATCACCATACACCCCAGCACATCACCATACATCCCTATACATCACCATATATCCCTATACAACACCATATACCCCTATACAACACCATATACCCATATACAACACCATATACTCCTATACATCACCATACACCCCTATACATCACCATACACCCCTGTACATCGCCATATACCCCTATACAACACCATATACCCATATACAACACCATGTACTCCTATACATCACCATACACCCCAGCACATCACCATATACCCATATACAACACCATATACTCCTATACATCACCATACACCCCAGCACATCACCATATACCCATATACAACACCATATACTCCTATACATCACCATACACCCCTATACATCACCATACACCCCTGTACATCGCCATATACCCCTATACAACACCATATACCCATATACAACACCATGTACTCCTATACATCACCATACACCCCAGCACATCACCATATACCATATACAACACCATACACCCCCATAAATCACCATACACCCCTTCACATCGCCATATACCCCTATACAACACTATATACTCATATACATCCCCATACACCCCTATACATTCCCATACACCCCTATACATCACCATACACCCCTATACAACACCATACATCCCTATACATCCCCATACACCCAATATATTCCCATACACCCCTATATATCACCATACACCCCTATACAACACCATACATCCCTATACATCCCCATACACCCCTCTACGTCCCCATACACCCCTATAAATTCTCATACGCGTCTTTAAACATCACCCTATATAGTACTTTTATGTGTGTCATTGTCCCATTTTATTTCTAGATGCCTTACATTCAGCAATGCATATATAGCATTAATTCTTGTCAAAGCTCGCCACTAGTGGTGTGCCTGCATAGCATGGTTGCCCCCGTGGTGGTATAGCTGTCTGCAAAAAGTCCTTTAATTACTTAAGTTCCAAAGAGATGGTGGCTTAAAAAGCTCAATCTAACATCAGCAGTCACGCAACGGCAAAGTAAAGTCGTAGTGTTTTGCTAATCCAAGCATATTCTTATGGTTTTGGGGGCGTTCTCGTTGGCTTCGTTTTCGTCGTTTCTTGGTTCGAAGAGTAAGCCGGCCGAGTTGTGCCGTTATGGGACTGGGGGGTGGAGGGGGGGAGGGGGCGGTGAGATTAAACATGGACTGAAGCGACTGCAAATGCGTCTGATTTCCGCAGTTCCTCCGCAATTCGGCTACTAGTTCCAAGGTCAGTAGAGAAAACATTATTTATTTAATTCATCTATTCATTTATTTTCATTATTGGTATATGACCTTCAAATTTCAAGTTCATCAATAAAAAACGATATTGAATTATTATATGTACTGGATGGAGATACCATACTCTGTTGAGCTTTTCACTGAAAATCTAATTCACAAATAGCAGATAGGTATATTTGCTAAATACATTGCAATTATTGTCGGTAACTAAAATTATCGGGACACGGAGGAGATTAGCACATGCCTTAGCACAGATGTCGCCAATGTATGTCACTTGCGAAATGGCCATCAGTTTTAAAACGTTCAATTTCCCGTACATTTGACGAACAGGACATCCACTCCCTGTATTCATCGAGATTTTCAGTGACTTCACGCACGAAAAGTAGTCTGAGGTTTTCCGTGTCACGTTCCTCGTTGATTCCAAGCCCCAGTGAGGAAATATGCTGTAGATTTTGCATATCCGAACGTTGCAAGTGTTTTTGTAGCTGCCGGGCTGTTGCTCTGAAGAAGCAGTTTCCGTCTTTGTTAATTTGGTCCAACTGAAGATTAAATCCTGTGAGATTTCTTAACAGGTTATCTTTGTGCTATGGGGTCAAATTTAATTCCATAACGTTTAACTTTGACTCCTGTTCATAAAGGTTAGCTGCCGGTAAGTTTATCTTCCAGAGAAGACCAATCAAATCTATTGTTTTGTTGTTACATTTTGTTGTCCAACTGGTGATAAATTCTTGTATGTGCAGCGCTCGTTCCAAAATGTAGTTCAAGACGGAATCGTTTTCCAGTTCTTCCACAGTCTTAACTGTGACGAAAACGGATGATGTCCCTGGCATTCTACTAGCCTTACTGCTATTTTCAGAGACAGTTCCAGATATTGAACCCGGTAATGACGTTGACGTAGAATCCACAGCCGTCATCTGAGACTGAAGATAAGGGGTCGCTTGGTTTAAAGACTCTAAAGCAAAGGCTCTAATTCAATTGGCGTGATCGGAATTGTTCTCTTATTGAGGGTTGTTTTTAATCTTCGTTTGCAATTCCATGCATACAAAGCACACGCCATTACCGCTACCGCCAACTGAGGTCCAATTTTGCATACTCCGCACAGTAATGATCGGTTAAGATGTCTGTGAAGTCGCTCATTTATTTCAGTCCCACATCCAACAGGTATTTCCGAGAGACATCCTTTTTTTGTATGCTTGCGCAAATTTTCAATTTGAAGAAGGGTTTCCGTTTTCAGCTTTTCTCTCCAAACAAATAGAAGACGTTCAAGATTTGATTCTATTTCATCAGGACAAGGTGTGCTCATTGTTCTCTCGTTACCAAGGTCTCCATTTTAACGGAAAATTAAAGAAAATTCATTAGCAAATTGTTTACTGTAATCTTCGCTTTTGGGTACCGTTTGTACAACTCTCATACACGCGTGAAATAAGTCTAGCCGAACCTTTATCCCCGGGAATATTTGTCCATATAGGTGCATCACGTGGCAACAGTCATCCACTATTATCATTTTTAAGTTCGTGCTTGCCTTATCAAGCCTCTCTTTCAGTTCTTTAAGTGAGTCGATAATTTCGGACGAAGAAGTCGTCTTCGTAAACTTCCATATCATAACTTCTCCGTTTTCGTTCACCCCCAAGAAGACGTTTTTAAACTGGCCTACAAACTTGCCGTCCTCGCGGGTTACCCCGATATGTTTACTCGTTCTAAAGGTGTGGTCACAGGACAGAATCTCCCCTGTGTGTTTCTGCATGTCATTCTCGTAACGTTTTTTGTTCCGCTCAAACTGCATGAGAAACAAATCCATTAGTTTATCGTTGCTTGGATAGGCAATGAAAGGAATACTCTCAAACTCTTTTACAGATAACTCTTTGCTGTCCGGTTTATTACGCATGTACTGTCTGTAATTCATTGATGCAATGCCTTCAGATAATTCCATGAAGTTTTGTCCTTGATAAATACCAGTTATTAAATAATCATAAAGACGCAGCGTAAAACCGCTTCTCTGCTGCATTATAAGAGGAAATCCCTTAACAACACTTTCAGGGAGAGCGCCTAACACATCGTTTGATGCGGATAAATACCGATGTCCAATCATAACGTTTTCTGGCAAACTTTCACTGCATTCATAGAACGCCTGCACCAGAATAACATTTCCGTTCAAGTCGTAAATCAATCTTGGGTTTCTTGGACTTGTGTTAGAGGAGTCAGGAAGATCGGTCCACTGTCCGAATTTCAGAGGACAGCCATGAATAGGACATAAAATAGTCAAACCGTAATGTCTTATTGGACACCAGATAAATAATTTTGGTATTAATTTTGACATAGCGTGTGGCCCTTCAACAATTTGATCAAACCTTCCATTTTGCGGTGTACACTCAAACTCTCTTAAGACATCCCGCAGATATTGTCCTGCTTCTTTTCCAAGAAGAACACAGATGATTGTTTTAAATCCCAAAACAAAGAATAAGCAAGAAACAATGATTAAATTTCTCATTATGTCCCCTTGATGTCGAACATCTAACTGTCGCTGGGTGGCATCGATCTTGGTAATATACGGTTCAGCCAGGATCAAAGTGCTACAAAGCTTGTGCAATTTATTTCGCAACGTTTTACTTAGTTATATTACTCCACGAGCCATAGTTCATGTGACCTACCAAATTAAGCCGTTTAATGCATGTCCATGAAAGTCAGGAAGTACATTCAATATACCTTAGTAAAGTGTGAGCATTTTTTTTGTTCATTTTTGTTTTTGTTTGGCATCGCGGGTCGGGTATTATCCAATAAAAAGCTAAGAAAACTGGTACCCTTTTTAAGGCCCAAAGCCGAAAAATGACACCCTATTCAAGGAAAAAACAAACATGTGGCTTGAAGAGGCGTTACGTGTATTTACCCGCTTAACGTCTATTAAACCTCTGTTGCAAAATCAAAACCGTTCGTTTAGGCGCGCATTTTCCCACTCCAGTATTAGATAATGCAATTAACCTACCCTATCTAAGGACCACACCAGGGACACAGAAACAAAAGGGTCAAGAAAGATACCCTATTTAAGGACCGAGAACTTCAAAAACCATACTCTATTACGCGGCACGTACCTATATAGCCCATATATGGGAGTACCCGGGGGAATAGATACTGTTATTCAAAACCCATACGTTAATCCTTCCAAGAACTTCGCGTACAGAGGTGTATGGTGATGTATAGGGGTGTATGGTTATGTATGGAGTGTATGGTTATGTATAGGGGAGTATGGTGATGTATTGGGGTGTATGGTTATGTATGGAGGTGTATGGTGATGTATGGGGGTGTATGGTGATGTATAGTGGTGTATAGTGATTTATAGGGGTGTATGGTGATGTATAGGGATGTATGGTGATGTATAGAGGTGTATGGTGATGTATAGGGATGTATGGTGATGTATAAGGGTGTATGGTTATGTATGGAGGTATATGGAGATGTATAGGGGTGTATGGTGATGTATAGGGGTGTATGGTTATGTATGAGGGTGTATGGTGATGTATAGGGATGTATGGTGATATATAGAGGTGTATGGTGATGTATAGGGGTGTATGGTGATGTATAGGGATGTATGGTGATGTGTAGGGATGTATAGTGATGTGTAGGGGTGTATGATGATGTATAGTAGTGTATGGGAATGTATAGGGATGTATGGTGATGTATAAGGGTGTATGGTTATGTATGGAGGTGTATGGTGATGTATAGGGGTGTATGGTGATGTATGGGGATGTATGGTGGTGTATAGTGGTGTATGGAGATGTATAGGAATATATGGTGTTGTATGTGGGTGTATGGTGCTGTATAGGGGTGTATGGTTATGTATGGGGGTGTAAGGTGATGTATAGCGGTGTATGGGGGTGTACGGTGAGGTATATGGATGTATGGTGATGTATAGGGGAGTATGGTGATGTATGGGGGTGTATGGTGATATCTAGGGATGTATGGTGATTTGTAGGGGTGTATGGTTATGTATGGGGATGCATGGTGATGTATAGGGGTGTATGGTGATGTATAGGAGTGTATGGTTATGTATGGGTGGTGTATGGTAATGTATGGGGATGCATGGTGATGTATAGGGACGTATGGTGATGAACAAGGGTGTATGGTTATGTATGGGTGGTGTATGGTAATGTATAGGGATGTATGGTGATGTATAGGGGTGTATGGTGATGTATAGGGGTGTATGGTGATGTATAGGGATGTATGGTGATGTGTAGGCGTGTATGGTGATGTATAGTAGTGTATGGGAATGTATAGGGACGTATGGTGATGTATACGGGTGTATGGTGATGTATAGGAGTGTATGGTTATGTATGGGTGGTGTATGGTAATGTATAGGGATGTATGGTGATGTATAGGGGTGTATGGTGATGTATAGGGGTGTATGGTGATGTATAGGGATGTATGGTGATGTGTAGGCGTGTATAGTGATGTATAGTAGTGTATGGTAATGTATAGGGATGTATGGTGATGTATAGGGGTGTATGGTGATGTATAGGGGTGTATAAGGGTGTATGGTTATGTATGGAGGTGTATGGTGATGTATAGGGGTGTATGGTGATGTATGGGGATGTATGGTGGTGTATAGTGGTGTATGGAGATGTATAGGAATATATGGTGTTGTATGTGGGTGTATGGTGCTGTATAGGGGTGTATGGTTATGTATGGGGGTGTAAGGTGATGTATAGCGGTGTATGGGGGTGTACGGTGAGGTATATGGATGTATGGTGATGTATAGGGAGTATGGTGATGTATGGGGGTGTATGGTGATATCTAAGGGATGTATGGTGATTTGTAGGGGTGTATGGTTATGTATGGGGATGCATGGTGATGTATAGGGGTGTATGGTGATGTATAGGAGTGTATGGTTATGTATGGGTGGTGTATGGTAATGTATGGGGATGCATGGTGATGTATAGGGACGTATGGTGATGAACAAGGGTGTATGGTTATGTATGGGTGGTGTATGGTAATGTATAGGGATGTATGGTGATGTATAGGGGTGTATGGTGATGTATAGGGGTGTATGGTGATGTATAGGGATGTATGGTGATGTGTAGGCGTGTATGGTGATGTATAGTAGTGTATGGGAATGTATAGGGATGTATGGTGATGTATACGGGTGTATGGTGATGTATAGGAGTGTATGGTTATGTATGGGTGGTGTATGGTAATGTATAGGGATGTATGGTGATGTATAGGGGTGTATGGTGATGTATAGGGGTGTATGGTGATGTATAGGGATGTATGGTGATGTGTAGGCGTGTATGGTGATGTATAGTAGTGTATGGTAATGTATAGGGATGTATGGTGATGTATAGGGGTGTATGGTGATGTATAGGGGTGTATGGTGATGTATAGGGATGTATGGTGATGTGTAGGCGTGTATGGTGATGTATAGTAGTGTATGGGAATGTATAGGGATGTATGGTGATGTATAAGGGTGTATGGTTATGTATGGAGGTGTATGGAGATGTATAGGGGTCTATGGTGATGTATAGGGGTATATAGGGGTATATGGTGTTGTATGGGGTATATAGGGGTATATGGTGATGTATAGGGGTATATGGGGGTATATGGTGTTGTATAGGGGTATATAGGGGCGTATAGTGTTGTATAGGGGTATATAATTATTTATATAGGGGTATATGGGTATATATGGTGTTGTATAGGGTATATAATTGTTATATAGGGTATATATGGTGTTGTATAGGGGTATATAGGGGTATATATTATTTATATAAGGGTATATATAGGGGTATATGGTTTTGTATAGGGGTATATAGGGGTATATATGGTGTTGTATAGGGGTATATAGGGGTATATATGGTGTTGTATAGGGGTATATAGTGTGATATATAGGGGTATATATAGGACATATAGTGTTGTATAGGGCATATATATAATTAATTATAATAAGGGGTATATGGGTATATAATTGTTGTATGGGGTATATATAGGGTATATAGTGATGTATAGGGGTATATGGGGGTATATGGTGTTGTATAAAGGGTATATAAGGGCATATAGTGTTGTATAGGGTTATATGGTGTTGTATAGGGGTATATAGGGAATATAGTGTTGTATAGGGTATATATAGGGGTATATGGTGTTGTATAAGGGGTATATAGGGGTATATGGTGTTGTATGGGGTATATAATTATATATGGTGTTGTATAAGGATATATAAGGGGTATATGGTGTTGTATAGGGTATATAGGGGTATATAATTATTTGTATAGGGGTATATAGGGGTATATGGTGTTGTATATAGGGGTATATATAGGGGTATATAGTGATGTATAGGGGTATATAGGGGCATATAGTGTTGTATAGGGTATATAATTGTGTATAATAGGGGTGTATAGGGGTATATGATGTTGTATATAGGGGTATATAGGGATATATGGTATTGTATAGGGGTATATAGGGGCATATAGTGTTGTATAGGGGTATATGGTGTGTAATAGGGGTATATAGGGGTATATGGTGTTGTATAGGGGTATAGGTGTTTATAGTGTAATAATAATAATATATAGTAAGATATAATAATTATGTTTAGGTACATAATAATAATCATATATGAAGTACCTACCTGTCAGAACAGGGTATCCACTGACCAATATCACTTGACCATATCGCTGGCTCAGGTGTCGCTGCCATTAACGTTACGTGTTTTTTGACGTTATGCGATGATAAGTTACACATTTTCAATTGACCGCAAGCTCAAATACAAGTGGATTTCTTTGCCATGTTACAACTTTATTGTTTGAAGTAAATTACAAATTTATTGGCGGGAGCTTCGCTCTTTTCTTGAGTCAGAATTGCGGCTATGGGAAGGTAGCTGTTCTATATCAGGAGTCTATTATCATGGGCCTAACACTCACGAGTCAACGTTAAATTGTCCTATGTATTGTAGTAATTATTATCCGATAAAACACAGGGTTTTCCCTGAGGAAACAATGTTCAGTAAAGTCTGGACCCGATAGGATAGGATAGGATAGGTGCCGATCCTTTTTTTCTTTTCTTTGCATTTTTCTTTTTCTGTCTGAAATTTCCATTTGCCCCAAATGACCTTTCAGCGCCTTTGAAACTGATCCTCATACCTACACTGCTACTGGCGTAGCTCTCCTCTTTGTATTCCACAAATTTTTCATCTTTCTTGCCAGGTCTTGATACCTTTCTTGCTTTTCTATTTCTTTTTGTATGAACGATATTACTGCCCCCAGGATTTGCAATCTCCACATTAATCGTCTCCCTCGTGTTAGGTTTTGTGAATTACAATGTCCGGTATCCGCTGATGACTTTCTCGATGACTTTGAATTGTAAAATCGAACAACATTCAAAATTTTTAAATCGTGAATTTACACGCTGACAAGTGCCTAGTAACGCGACTGAGAGATTGTGTGACCATGCGCAAATGAGCAGCTGTAGGAGGCTAATGACGCCAAGAATCTACCGTGTTTTAGACTCCTCATGAACGGATTGAAGTGACTAACTTTTAAGGCGCCCATCGATAATTAAGATTATTTTGATATACATTTTCAATCGAGAGCTTCATTGTGCCGCATTGGTACTGGTACCTGATATCCGTTGTCTTAACCAGCTTTCCAAGAAAAAAAAAATGCAAATTTGATACCTTATCTGCAAGTGTTTCAAAGAACAGTAGTTGAGTCATTTCAAATTCTTTGCGGTTTTCAGAGAAATTGTCACTCTCGAAAAATGTAATCTTATTTTCATTTTAAAGAACAGGAGAGATTATTATTGAAGCTTCTTTGTTATAATTAGCAAAGAGGCAATAACTGTCGAGTTTCAGAGAAGGGGAACAAACTGACATTTGAAACATTGCTGAAGAGAGGTACATAATCATTTATGTTTTCATTTTGTATTTTTTCGCTCTTAAAATTTGGTTACTTTAGAAACTAAACTCTTCATTCTTGTACGTAAAAATGTGTGAAGAATTCAATCTCGAAAAATGTTAACATTAAGTGAAAGTTCGGCATGGTGACGTGGAATCATGCATGATCATGCACAATGGGCAGTGTGTGTAATCAACGCGGAAATAGATAGTTATGTACTTTGTAAATTCCCGAAATGTTGAAACTGTTAAACCTTGATACATAGTTGAGAAAAGAAAGTTAAGAGCACAGAGTAGACAGAGAATGAATTCGACTAGTTCCGGTAACGGTGGATTTACAATTTATTCAATCAGCAGTCCTCCAAAGTCAATTGAAATCTTTTTCCCGGAAATCTTTGAGTTAAAAATCCTTTCAAAATCAGAGAGAAAACAAAAAAAGGTTTTTTTCCTTCGTTAAAACGTACTGTTTTATTCATAATATAATGTATGACAACCTGGATCGATACGATATTTCAGACCATTTAGAATTTATAGAGGCATACAGCATTTCGTATTCGTAATAGACCTTGTCACGGTTTTCGACGCCATCTTGACGAGTGGGCAAAAACGTGAGAAATTACAGTGTTTGTATGAGAATCTAATGTCGAATAATTTCCGTAAAACGGCTGTTCTGAACAAAATATCAATTGTAAACTAAAGCTACAAAGCAAAGGATTGTCTCAAAAAAATTTCGGGGCGTACCTGTGCTTAAATTTTTCCAGAGGCTTTCTTTAGATTTTCCATATATTTGTCTGTAGTTTTCCCGGGACTTTCTTACAGACAAATGTATAAAAAATTTTAAAAAGTGGTTCTAGGTCTTCTAGTGCATGTAACGCCCTCAACGTTTTTCAAGAGAATCCTTAGGAGTGAAGCATTACCGGGGTAGTTTACAAATCATATTTTTTTCAGAACAGCCGTTCTACGGAAATTATTCGACATTAGATTCTCATACAATCACTGTAATTTCTCACGCGTTTGCCTACTCGTCAGGATGGCGTCGAAAACCGTGACAAGGTCTATTCTATCTTCAATTATGTTTTTCATTCAAATTAGCCTGGGTTTAAGAATTTTACCATAAATGTATTTTGTACCTTTTAAATATGTATTACAGATATATTTTAACTAGGCCTCTCACTGAATATTTTAAGCATCAAGAAAATATAATCAAAAGGACGCCCTTGTTAGGCCTCTTTTACCCTCTTAACTTTTTCGCATGAATAAAGTGCGGTGGACTCTCATAAATTTTAATAACGTCACGCGCTCTTTTGAGGTTAACGTGTAGCCAGTTTTTAGATCGCTGATGTCTTGGTTTTTGGATTGAATGAAATTAGAAAAGAATTCTGTGGTTGATTCATTTTAACGATGGAATAAGCGTTAAATCGCGTGTCACCTAGAACAAATGTATCATAACTTTTTCATCAAGTTTTATTTCCTGTCGCCTTTATTGTCCAATTGGTTCAAAAATTTTTGGCAAAAATAGGCCGTACTGATGAGGGCGATAGGAAACAAGCTTGTTCAAACCTAATTCTCCACACTTCGATTATTTCCTTCTTCGATTTCAGTTGTCGTACTAGTTAGTACCAGTACAAAATTTCTCTTGTTTCTCTCCACTACCACCTCCACATTTCAAATTGTTTTTCTTCCTTCCTTATTTTACCTCTTCTCATTCTTCTCTTGTCCATTTTTTGGTTTTCTCTTGACCCAGTACATCACCTCTACATGCACTCCACATCGGCCCCACAGATGCGACCCTAGATCGACTCCCATCGATCCCATATGCTGTCTACTTCGACCCCACATGAACTCAAAATCGACCTCCGGTCCATCCTACATCAAATCTACATCAAACCCACAGACACCACATCGACCTTCACACTGTCGACTTCACGTAGATCCTTTGATTCTAACTAGAAGGAGGGAGAGGAGGAAAGACAGCGATAGAAATTTAGTGGTCGTGTTTTTGGAGATGGTGGTTGTAGTGGTCACCGGATTCGAGAGAGAGCGGCGAAATCAAGCCTTCTCTTAAACCAGTTAACTATAAATAGAACATGACAAACCCGAAGCCGTTCAAGGATTGATTCTCTTGTATTGCAGTTCAAAACAGGAAGATATTTAGAATCGACAGCATTTTATTCCTGAGTCTAAGCCTATGGCACAAAAGAATCAAACGGACATCATTGAAAATACGTACACAAAACAAAAAAGTGTCAATCTGGTTATAATTACATTAATTAGTTACAATTAATTATTCAATCCACTGCATTATTTATGTTGAGGCGTGTGAGGCCGAACGGTTAACACCTCGAATTCTGGATCTGGTGGTCCGGGGTTCAACCAGCCTCGCCCGTCGCGTTGTTTCCCTTAGACAAGGAACATTACAACACTTTGTCTCTCTTCACCCAGGTACCTAAATGGTACCGGCGAAATACTGTTGGAGGGTAATTCTGCGATGGACTAGCATCCCGTCCAGGGGAGTATCAATACTCTTAGCTAGGCATGCATCATGCTAAGGAGCAAGGGTAGCACAGTTACTTAGTGCGCAGCCTCCTGTGCGCGAGGTCCCGAGTTCGATCCTGGTGACATCGCATCCTTATTTCAAAGTCTCTACTTTCTGTGTAGCTTTGACTACAATATTTTAAATACCCTTAAAACGGAGCATTGATGGAGAGATGGGGGTAAACTGAGGGCACGGTCGAGCTCAAGTTTATCAGTTATTACTGTCACGAGTTATCGACGTAAGGCTGCTTTACCTTTACCTTTTTTAAGGGAACCGGGATAAACTAATTTGAGTCTTTAGCTCGTTTGCACATTTACCTTTTAAAAATATTTATGGGATCAAAACGATTGCCTATTTCTTGATTCCCACTCAGAAAAGAGGTCTAACTGGTGCGCCCTGTACTTCTTACATTTATAGTTGCACGCTTTGTATTGAAGTAAAAACTATTCATTTAAAATTCAATGATTATTCTTTTCCTTCATTTCTGGACGTTTTCATTTTTATTGTCCAGGACCATGACCAGTTTTGCTGGCTCTGCAATCGCACAGGGACCCACTGTTGGAAGAATTGACTTGTGGTCAGATTGGCAACCGACCACCTGTCAACCAAGATGGTTACTTCTCTCAGGAGCATCCAATCCACCAGAAGACATCGCCATTTCCAAAAGAAGAACTCGAGATGCTCCTGGCGACAGAAGTGGTACATTTCTTCCAGGGGTTTCCCATGATTTAACTAATATGCAAGATACGGTACTAGTCAAAGCTACGTTTTCTAACATCCTAATGAATTTGAAATTAACCAAGTCTGTTGCTCTCGAAAGTATTCGCGAATTATTTGCTGATTGCCTAAGCAGAAAGGCTAAACCTATGATATACTATACTGGGCATGGCGAGATTGGCACTGGAAACTGGTGTTTTGCTGATGGGAAAATCACTATCCAAGAAATTTTGAATCTGGTGCCTGGAGGCTGTTTTTACCCAATGATATTCAGCGACGCCTGTTACAGTGGCCACTGGTCAAATTTTTGTCTCAGAAAAGGAATTGGTGGTTTTCATTGCGTGGCAGCATGTCCAGAGTATTCAACTGCTTTTGATACTAAAGGTGAGAAAATCACGGAATTATCAATATTCAGTCACTTAGAAATAAAGTCTGTTAAAGCTAAGTATCAATGTCAACATATATAATTCTATAAAATCTACGTAACAGCGTAGGCCAAGGAAAGAAGCTCCTGCTACTACGCTACTATTGCTACTGTTCATGCCACTGTGTTTTCTATTGAGTTTACATATGGCTAGTAGTTAATCTGATAATGTCGACAAAGCTATATTATCCTTTAAAATTTTCAAAACTGTCCAATTAATTAATTTGGATAGTTTCAGATAGGAATTTGTTTACAAAACGGCAAACTGTTAAATTTAAGAAAAATAGGACTTTTTTCGGAGCCAATCTAATGAAAATAAAAGACAATAGGCTCTAGAAACTGGCCATTTAGCGCAAAGTCCCAGTGACAACGTGCCAAAAAATATCGTTGGCTGACGACGATTCGTCGTTACAAATTTAGACAATAAAGAAAGAACTAAATACATGCAGATTTTCCTGCAAGCCTGCGGGATACCAGACACGAGAACAAGCTGTTGGGAGTAGCCTGCGTAGCAAGCGTTTCCTCGCGAGGTTCGTCTAGAAAGCTGGGACAAGAGCAAAAAAAATGAATGACGGGGGAGGGGGAGGGGAACGAAGGAACCGCTTGCCCGCAAACCCCACGATTTTGAAAAACTGCGTTCGCCCACGAACGGAGCTTCTGATTGGCGCAGTGCGGGTAGTGTTGATTACTTAGCATTCGAAACATCAATCAAACCAAGTATGCTTTGTTTTCGTGCGTCACAGATCTGGTCTCACCCGATTTGTGGTCGCAGATTACAAATGCTTTGGACTGATATTTATTGGAATCGTGTTTGTGCGAATCGAAGGTTTATGAGATCAGAGTCTTCAAAGTTTAATTGGAGATCGAGCAGTGGAGACTAGGGAAGGCCAATTTCTTGAGAATGACGGCGTGCGGATCTGACTGGAAAAACTGGACTGTTTGTTGGAGATAATACAGTGGAACCCCGTTAATGCGACCACCGTTGGGCCATAAAATCCTGGTCGTAATAACGAGGTGGTCGCATTAACGGGGTCCTCAAAATAATAAAATGACTCAATGGTTTTTACGTTTGCTTCGAAAGAATATGGCCGTAATAACGAGGTGGTCTTATAAACGGGGTGGTCGTAAGGCGGGGTTCCACTGTATCAACATAAAACAGAACATCGGTACTCGACACTAGCTAAAGCCGCCATGGACAAGCGATTTTTCAGCTTTTTGAAATGAAAAGATTCTTTTTGTTTATTGGAAATTTTGCGGCATCTATCATAGAGAACGTTTCGACACAGGCTGAAGAGCAGCCGCTCTGCAAAACTTATACCCAGCGGAGTGAATTGTTCCGGACAAATCATTTCTGACGTGTCGACAAGGTTTCAGACGAGATAAAGCCACACAATATAAAAACAAGAAATTCCGCAGCAATCGCTCATAGTTTTAACTTTCTTTTATCGTAAATCTTTTTTATTACAGTTCTTGCAATCGCCTGCAACGTGTTCTATTAGAGAACAAAGTAATTTTAGAAATCTGGTAATCCAGGGGTAATCTGTTCGTTATGCTTCTATTTTGACGAGCTGTCAATTTACAAATGAAACGAACCGTGAAATATCAAGGGGCGTTTTCCAGAATCTTGGGGTTTGCGGGCAAGCGTTTCCTCTTCTCCCCTCTCCCTCCCCCTTCAACCTTTTTTTTGCTTCCGCTCTAACTTTCGCGCAATAACTCGATTGGAAAAGCTTGCTACGCAGGCTATATTGGGAGCCGTTGCGCAGACGGACTACCGGTATATCGAGTTCTCTATCCCGGTCTTGATCGAGTGACAAGTCCCGATGCAAGGCAGGCTAGAAAGTAACAAACTGTAAGATTCTGGTAGTTGTGGTCAAGTAACGTCTTCGTAAAAATGTCTTCCTGAGGTGTCTCCAAAGATACGTTTGAATAAATTGTTCTTTTCGATAAGTAAAAATTTATTTATGTCGGTCAATGGTACTGTACAGAAATCTGACTTTTGTCATAAATAAAATAATAATAATTCCGTCATTGAATTTACCCCCGGCAGTATTTATAGCACTCGGGGGCCGAGCAAATTCCTGAAACAAACAACTTGACTTAACGGGGTTAAGGATCCCAGCTGGCTATTTTTACAAGCATGGCTGAGGATTTGAACTAGGGACTACCGAGAGCAAATCCAGCTAGTGGTCAGGGCAGGACTTCAAATTAGGGCTTCCGATTTGCAAGTCCAGCGCTCTAACCACTCGGCCACGCTGCCTCTACCTCATTCGAAGGTTCAGGAGCATTTTAAATAATGGCTATTTAATTCATCTTTTGATTGAAATCCTTTAGGACAAGGTGGGGATTTTACCTTGTTCATGACTGGAAAGAAACAACGTCCTATCACGGAACCAATGTACAGCGGGGGAAATCTGCTCGACTTTCCAGTAAGTGCTGGATATGACGAGATTGATTATACTGATTTCATTAGCAGCTACATTGTCAACTCACAAGGAATTGTCATTTCTCAAAGCATGCATAATGGCAACTTCTCTGCATGTTTTGCAACTACCAGTCTTTACAGACCAAGACCCTTGCTCACTTGGTGGATTTTTAGAAACTATGGCTCTTTCCTTACTTTTGTCAAAGCGCAATGGGAGAATTCAAGAAGAATATATTCCCTTGCATGCGATGAAAGGTTTGGGTTTGGAGTCTTTCTTATGGAAAATTTTGGCGCAAATCAAGCAATTATAACAAACACATCTGATATCCAGAAGTTTGGGGCAGATGGTTTTATAATAACTGCCTGTGCGGCTCGGGGATCAACATTTTACATCATCATGACAAAGGGCACCAAAGAATATGGAGAGAAATCGCAAGAGTGGATTACAGGCAATACATGGCTTGAGGTTGACACGAAAATACGGAAAAGTTACCAAACCGGGAAAGTTATCACCGGTATATGTTACTCGACTGGGCTGGAGCAGTATTTTGTTGTGATGACAGAGATGCCACATCGTCAGTGCTACGCCTGGCAAACGGACAGTACTAAAGAAGGACACTTCAAGAGAGAAAAATGGGTGAAAAAGAAAAGTGAGAAGGGATATCATCTCACCATCATTTTCAACGATCCCACTGACGACAAGATTCTGTTTGTGATGACCAAGGATGGAAATATATCTGAATACACTTACAGAATTAATCATAAGATGAAAAGTTAAGTTAAATTAGAAAAATTACTTTTAAAAATAGAGTGAGAAACAATTTGTTTTGAAATTCTTTCAGTAAAAAGCTAATGAGGTCAATGCCATATTCTTCGGAACTATTTCATTTCAAGATGCTAATGTTATTATCTGGAAATGAGCTAAATAATTAGCCTTAAAAACGTTCACGAATTAAAAATGTAAATTAACGGTAAGAAATAAGCCAGGGACGAAATAGGGCTGAGAAGTAATAAGAAACAGGCCGGGAGCCAAGTAAGACTCAAGTAAGAAAAGGTCGAAGTAACAGTGGAAGATTGAAAAGTACAACTGAGGAACAGTCCTAAACAACAAGGCAAAGTGTAACTGTTAGTTAAGTGACTGATTGTTTAATTTGCATGTAACTAATAAAAAAGGACTGAAACCACTGGGACCATTCTGCAACACTCCGAAAAACTCCAAGTCAAGTCAAAAAGATGCCATCCCCACAACGTCTGTTTCTTTCTTCTTTTTTTTTGGAGACGATCAAGCATCTTGACATTTTTAGCAGCTGTTTTATTTATCCTTTGCTCGAATTTTGTCACAAGTTTAGTGATCAGTTACTATGGTTACGAGATACGACGTCATAATTAGTAGGTGCCGTTAAGCCATCAGTTTTGAGTAAAAGTGTATGTTTTTCATCTTTCTTCAACGATAAAAGTAAAGCTTGTAGATAAAATAAAGCAAAGTGATGACTTCAGTTTTATTTTACATGTCAAGCACAAAAGATTAACAATTATCTTGGTTTTTTCCGGATTTCTAATCCTGGGTAAAAGATATCAAGATATCAAAATTGTAAAATATCAAAATTGGGTGAAAGTAATGACATTTTCTACGTAATTACATTTGCTACGTAGTAACTTTAAATACCGTAAAATTCCGAAAATAAGCCTCGGGGCTTATATTTTTCAAAGGCCCTTTTTGAGGGGCTTATTTTTGGAGGGGCTTATCTACGGAGGGAAACTTTCGCTTCAAAACCGATTGGGCTAGCCTTATATTTGGAAGTAAATTTACCGTTTTTGCTTTGTTTTACTTTGTATTTGAGGGCAATTTTTAAAGTACAAGCCCCCGGGGGGCTTATATTTGGAGGGGTGACTTAACGGAGGGTTTTTTGCGTTATCGGTTTGGGGACTTATATTTGGAGGGGCTTATACATGGAGGGGCTTATAGTAGTCTACTATGTTGGAAATTAACCCCCTTTAGTGTCTTCCCCTGTCTCCCCCTGTCTTCCCTTTATTAATACGCATAAGGGTCGAGTCCATGACGTCACCTATTGTTATAACCTAGAGAAAAATGCGTTCCTTCATATAAATTAAGTGCCTTCCTCCATATATAATGAAGTGGATAGGTTTACTAATGAGTGTCACTCTACTACAATAGGAACAATAGGCTTGCCTAGACTTGCCCGGGCTCTTTTAACCCTGATTGGATAGTAAACAATCTATTATGTGTTCAACATAAAAGCACGCTCTCCGTTCAGCATTTTATTCTTACAATCGCTTTGCTAAGAAACAGTTTGTCCGAGTTCGCTCGTTTTGAGAAAACCTTTATTCACTTTTTGAACATCATGGCTTTTATTACCAACGTTCGCGAATTTCAAGCTCTTTTGGATGGTTGTTCCTCAACCCACGATTGGGAATTATTGCTGGAATCTATTTTGATACGCGATGAGTGGATCCCAATGGCGTATGCTCGGCTGTCGGAACTCGCAGCCCAAGAGATACCGCGGTAAGTATTCTATTTCGTTTCTGAGTTCTCTCCTGATGACGGTTTGCGTTTAATTTGTACGTTGAAATAACGACTATTCATTAATCTTTACTTAACGTTCTCTCCCACAGACTGAAATCAATCAGGACACGGGTAGTGATAAAGTCAACGATCTACTGAGCGATTCGGTAAGTTTTCCAATATGTTATGTCACGAAGTGTAAAAAGTTCACGCATCATTTATGTCCGTTATGTTAATAGACTCGACTTGGGTTAGATTTGTATTTGATCTATTAAACTAAATCGCGTATCTTTTGTTATCCTCGTTAATGAAACAAAAGGACTTCCAAACTAGATTTGCTTCAACTTTTTGTAGACAGTTGTCGTGTAATACTCATCGAATATGTTTCCTTGCTTTACAGTTTACAACTGAAGAAATGCAGGCCGTAAATGAGATGGAACGCATGGCGCTAGACAAGGTAACTCCATTTCCTTTTTAATACGCAACGTAAATGATTTGTTTAGTGATGAAACAACATTACGAATCTCCTTATTCGTTCAAGGCCCACCTATTTCTTAAAATGAGCGAGATTTCAAAACCTAAAGTAATCTGATTTCTTCTCTTCTTATCTAGAATAACAACGAGTCGGCACCGTTACTGATCAGCGCAAGATACACGGGATAATATTTTGATGAGGTAAGCATTCATGATCATAAAATTATTTTTCTTTCACGGAATTAAGTTTGCACTATTAATTGTTCAATCACTCATGTGTATATTTCTGTTATTCATTTTCAGTGGACTGGCGAAACCAGTGAATTACCCACTTGGAACCCGTCGGAAACCGTAAGTCATCTTTCATGTTCACCTGTTTAGGAAACCCCATGTAGAAGTGCAAACGTTCCTATTAAAGTTTTTGAAATGTATACCTTTTAAAAACTAAATTGTTTAGGTTTGCCAAAAAAAAAAAGACAATATCATTCACTCCATCGTTTATACGAGTCGGAAGAATATAAAAGTTACAGTTGGCTTACTATTTCTGATTTTGAAGGCGTAAATATTTTATTCTTGATCGATTCCCCTTTCCACCGATCACATAAGTGAATTCGGTTTTTGCGGATGATTGCACCCATATTGAAATCTATTCTATTCTTTTGTTGAAAGCATTTGCTCAGTGCACTAATATTCTTCAATCATCAAGCCGAGTTGAAGAAAATAGACAGCGTATTATATATACTCAAACAGGTATCAGAGCAATTTAAGCTATTTCCACTAAGCAGTTGATTATAGCAATATAGCAGAGTTATAATAGTACCCATGCGCTGCGCTTATCTCTGATAGTCAATTATGTCGTGGATCGACACATAAAATTAAATTTATTCTGTTGATTCATCATCAAAAATAAACCATCTACCCAGTTGTTGAGACGCTCATTGTAGACAAATAGAGTTTATCGGAGTTTCTTGTTAGTTGAGCTTTACACTAAGACTAGGTCATATTTACTAATTATAGGAAATTCAATCCGGGGATGGTGAACCCGCAGCCAAAAAGCCTCGTAAAGAATATCGTTGTGACACTTGCGGCAAGACCTTCTCTCGCCCAAATCATCTAATAACCCATGTACGAACCCATACTGGTGAGAAATCGTACGAATGCAACCGCTGTGATAAGAAGTTTGCTGACAAGTCGGCTCTCAATCGTCACCTGAAAGCGCACGACGAACAAGCTGCCGAACGTACGTTTACTTGCGCAACCTGTGGCGAAACCTTTCACAACCGCGCCCCTTACAACGCTCATATTCGCACAGCTCATCAACAACCCGCCGCTGCAACAAGAAAACGACCCGTCGCTAAAAACACAGACGCACCTGCTGCCAAAAAACTCAAGAAGTCCGCTGATCCTGGTACTTTCCCAACTACAGCTCAAACCTCAGCGTCCGGGTCTAGCACCTTATTCCTGCCACGGAGGAAAATATCACCGACACGTACCGTCAACACTGGTCCCAGATCCGTACCCGATTTAGTCGCCGTAACCGTTTACAAGACTGGTACAATTTCCGCCTGTCTTCGATCAGTCCTGCTTCCCTCCGCGAACAACTGAACCGCATTTCTGCTGATCAGCCTACTGTGTTTAAAGTGAACTTTTCCTTTGGTTTTATTCTCCGCAATACAGAGACTGGGGCCCTCCAGTATCATCATCCATCCGCCAACAACAACCTGGTGCTAGAACAGCCGTTCCTGATTTCAAGTCCAGACGATTTAGACCGCCTATATCAGCAGATAGCGGAGATCGATTTCCTGGAGTGGGTGCGGCAACAAAGACCAAACTCAAAATGGGTGGTGGATCTCGTCACTAATGTGACGTGGTTTGTATCGAAGATCAGGGATCACCCGATCGGACGTGGAAAACATCTCCCCGACTACGTCGTCGACAACCGTGGAATAGAACCCCTGGAAAATAATGTGAAAACCGGTAGACCCTACGAAGATAATCTCTGTTTCTTCCGCTGCCTATCACTTTACAATGGTTGCCATGCGAGGAATTTAGAGAGAGATACCCAGTACTATTACCAACAGTACCGAGGCGCGGGGTTAGGAAAAAAGAACTTCCATGGAGTCAAGTTGTCCGAACCAGACGACCTAGAAAAATTGTATGAAGTGAATATTCAAGTACACAGTCTCGCGCCTACTCAGAGCCACAGTGAAGACGAAGACAATGAAGAAAATACTCCCGAGATTGCCGCCACCCTGCTTCGCCGCTCACATCGCCACTACTCCAGCACGCTTTACTTGAACCTCTACGAAAACCATTTTTCATATATTAAAGACCTGGCCCGGTACAGTAAATCCTTCCGCTGTTCAAGATGTGGCAAGTACTGGAAAGATATGTGGAAATGTCAGCGTCATGAGAAAACCTGTGACGGTAAAGTCCAGCTCAAGTATCCTGGCGGCTCGTACCATGTCCCTAAAACTATCTTTGAAGAATTAGAAGACGAAGGTATTGTCGTACCAGAAGAATGGCGGTACTTCCCTTACCGCGCCACCTACGATTTTGAATGTTACTTTGATGAAGAGAGAGCTCACGAATTAAAGAACACTGAAAAGTTAACCTGGCAATCTACCCATGTACCCTTAAGTGTGAGTGTATGCAGTAACGTGCCTGGCTACCAAGCACCCAAATGTTTCGTGTCTAACGGCGACCAAAACGAGTTTATTTCAGACTTTATCCAGTACCTCACCAAGATAAGCCTGAAAAGTTCATCTCTGCTACGCCAAAGGTACGCAGAAGTATTTGAAGCTCTTGAAACCGCAAGAGGCCCGAATAACAGTGAATCCCACGAAGACCAATTAGCGCAAATACTCGTAGACATCCAGGAAGGAAATGTAGAGTCTGGCGAAGATGAAAATAGTAAAGAAGAGAGCGAAGATCAAAGTAGCGACATTGATTTAATGGCGAGTGATAATGAAGAGGATGAAGAAGAAATTGAACCGGAGAATGAAGAAGACCGCGCTTTTCTCGATGATAAAATACAAGAACAGGAGGACGTCTCCTTTTATAGAAGATTGAACGTTGAAGTGGATAGAGAAAGAAGACAGCAACTGAGACAGACGCGGGAGCAGTTAGAAGAGTTACAAGATATTGTAGGTGGTTCAGAGGACGTCAGTGACCACAAAGTCCTCAGTCAACTAGAGGAGAAACTGAACGCCTATATACAAGAACTGCCCGTGCTAGGCTTCAACTCTGGCAAGTACGACCTAAATGCCTCCAAAGAATTCCTGTTCCCGTACCTCATCAAGCATCAGCCCGTCAAGTTTACTGTGAAAAGGAATAATAATCATATGTGTATGAAGACAGACTCTTTAAAGTTTCTGGACATCTCTAATTATCTCTCTCCAGGGTTCAGCTACGATCAGTTCCTGAAAGCGTACGAGTGCGAACAGACCAAGGGATTCTTCCCATACCAATGGCTAGACTGTTTGGATAAATTAGAAGAAACATCGCTGCCCCCTCACGCTGCCTTCTACTCAAGTCTGAAGAACGCTAACATCACGGGTGAAGAGTACCGATACTGCCAGCAAGTATGGGAAGACAATGAAATGTCCACCTTTAAAGATTTCTTGGTTTGGTACAATAATCTGGATGTAGTACCTTTCCTCGAGGCAGTAGAGAAAATGAGTCAATTCTGGCAAGAGAGAAAGATTGATATGTTTAAAGATGGGATTTCTGTGCCTGGTCTCACCCTCAAGTACCTCTTCTCATACCTCTCACCTCAAACGTACTTCAGTCTCTTCGATCAAGCGAACAGTGACCTCTATCACTTGATCAAAGACAACAACACGGGCGGCCCAAGTATTATTTTTCACCGATATCATGAAGCCGGCAAAACAAAGATCAGAGAAGCAGAGGAAGGCGAGGCTGCTAAGCTGTGTGAGAAGATCGTGGGTTATGACGCGAACGCTTTGTACCTCTGGGCGCTCATGCAAGATATGCCCACGGGAAGTTATACGAGACGCCTGGCGGACAATCAGTTCAAACCGAAAAGTTCTGTACGCATGGCTATTGAATGGTTGGAATGGGTGGCGCACAAAGAGGGAATTCACATCCGACATCAGTTAAACAATACAGAAAAGCGCATCGGTGGTCGTAAACTGCCTGTAGACGGTTTCAACGCGCAGACGCAAACTGCGTACCAGTTTCACGGCTGTTATTGGCACGGCCATGACTGTGCTCTCAACCGAGGGAAAGAGTTTAACGAGAAACGCAAGAAACCTATGGCTGAGATCAGAGAAGAAACGAGAGCCAACACGGAGTATATCCGCAGCAAAGGGTACAACGTGGTGGAAATGTATGAATGTCAGTGGAGAGAAATGAAGAGAACCAAACGAGAACTACGGCGTTTTATTGCCACCGAAGTGAGAAGAACCCTGGATCAAGTCAAGATCATGAGTCCCGAGCGAATATTGAGCGAGGTGCGACATGAGCGTTTGTTCGGGTGCGTGGAAGTAGATATTCGTGTACCAGATCACTTAAAGGAAAAGTTTAGTGAAATGTGCCCGATCTTCAAGAACACAGAAATCAGCCGCGATGATATTGGTGAATTTATGAAAGCGTACGCCGAGGAGCACAACATCATGGCTCAAGCCCGTCGCAGTTTGATTGGGAACATGAAAGGAGAAAAGATCCTGCTGGCCACACCCCTCCTCAAGTGGTACCTGGAACATGGTTTAGAGTTCACGAAAGTGCACCAAGTGATCGAGTTCACCCCTCAACCCTGCTTCAAACCGTTTGGGGATGCGGTGTCAGACGCGAGGAGAGCCGGAGATGCGGACCCCAGTAAAGCCATCATTGCAGATACCATGAAATTGGTAAGTTTTTTGTTTCATTCTTTCATTCATAAAGGGGTGGGAACAATATACATTTTCACGTATAGAAAAAACTTATATCTTTGTTTATCTCTCAGGTGGGCAATTCAGGCTATGGTAAGACGATCACCAACCAACTGAAAAACAGAAACGTGGAGTATTGCAGTGACGCTCAGGCCAGCCGAAAAGTGAACACCCACCTTTTCCGTAAACTGGATAATATCACAGAAGATATTTATGAAGTAGAGTCTTGTAAAAAAACCATCAAGTTAAATCTTCCAAGCCAAATCGGTTTTTTCGTGTACCAGTATGCCAAACTTCGCATGCTGCAATTTTATTATGATTTTCTTGACAAGTATCTCGATCGCAGCGATTTTCAAATGTGTGAGATGGATACAGACAGCGCGTATATCGCTATTGCTGGAGAGAGTGTGGAAAGTTTAGTCAAACCAGAATTGAAAGCAGAGTTCGAAGCCGATAAATGCAACTGGTTTCCCCGTACGGATACACCCGAGCATAAAGCCTATGATAAGCGAACGCCGGGTCTTTTTAAAGTTGAGTGGGAGGGTCAAGGAATTATCGGGTTGTGTTCCAAAACCTACTACTGTTTTGGGGCCAAAGATAAGTTTAGTTGTAAGGGTGTCAATAAGAAATGCAATGACATTAACAAAGACAAGTATTTACAAGTGTTGCTCACAAAACAGAATAGTTCAGGTGTTAACAGAGGTTTTCCTGTTGTTAACAACACCATGTACACTTATGAGCAAGTTAGGGATGCCTTTTCGTATTTTTACCCGAAACGTAAAGTTCTCGCAGATGGAGTTAGCACTACTCCACTCGATATTTAAGTTTTCAAGTTTGTAAAAAATTGATTTTGTAAATAATTTTCGTTTTCTCAAGTTTGAATATATATTACTCTCAAAATAGTTTTCCAAAATATTTATATCAGATCGCCTCTAGTTGTAAATATTTTTTTGCGTAGCTTTTTCCGGATGTTTGTACATAGCAAATTAGTTTGTAAATAAACAAAGTTGACAGAATTTAATCGTGGCTTGTTTCCTGACTCGACGCGCACGACTTACACGCGAGATCTCCACGCGCGCCCAGGCTAAAAAACACAGGGCTAAAAAGATGCCCTTTCTGCCCGATCCGCCCTTGAAAATCAACAATAAATTTCGTGTCGCAAATAGTTTTACTCAGTTGGTATCTAACATTCGTCCTGTCAGCATGAAGAAACTAAAATGTAAACACTGCCCCATACCGGGATGTCATTCTAAATTCTTAGTTCGATTAGCAAATCATTTAACTCAAGTCCACGAGTTATCGGAAATGGAACGAAAATGTTGGCTTCAATTTGCCAAGTTACAAAACACTAATGCGGTACGCGTATATGACAAGGAGGCTGAACCCAAAACGATTATTCTATAAATGAGAGTGATTGAAGTTGAAAGAGTCAGTTGTGATCATGGACCCGAGATGGAAACATCCTTTCCCCGCGCTTGTGGCCGGCCCAACATGTTGTGGGAAAAGTCAGTTTGTAAAACGTTTACTAGAAGCAGGAGAAGACATGATTGATGGTGCCCCGGAAAATATCATCTGGTGATATAGCATGTATCAACCAGCCTACGATGAGATGCTTAAAACTATTCCGAACATTATGTTTGTTGAAGGAGTGCCTGGTGATCTGGAAACCCTAATTAATCCCTCTATTCGGAATTTAGTCGTCAGGTCAATCATTTAGCAAGACAAATGTTTCCCGGTCATGTCAAATACATGCAAGAAGCGCTTGAGGATGCAACAAAAAGGCCCTATGGTTATTTATTTTGCGATCTTAAAGCGGAAACACCCACGGACTTCCGGCTGCGTACGAATATTTTCCCCGGGGAGACTCAGTACGCTTACGTCAGAAAAGTATAAAAAGGCGTGAACCACATCACATTTCTTCAGTTGAGGATGGCACAGCGACTGAGAAAGAACCACGATTTTCTGAAACTGCTTGTCAAGTGTACACCAGCTCAGCGTAAAGCCATTTTGAAGGTGGCAGACGACGCTTTAGTAAGAACCATTTGTGAGTGTGTTTTAAACGTGCTTAAAGGAACAGTGCCTGTCAGTAAGCCAGCCAAGAAAAAACTTTTACCTCACAAGAAATCTTTGATCGCTTTAGCCGAAAAAAGTACACCACTCGATAAGAAAAAGAAATTGTTGGTACAAAACGGAGGAAATTTTTTAAGTGTTTTGCTACCTCCCGTTCTCCGTGTGTTAAGTTCGATTCTTACCTAAAATGAATTACACAAAGCGTATGGTTCTCGTGCCCGAGAACACCTTGGAAAGATTACAGCAGCGCCAGCAGATTTTAACCCCACCCGTCACACAAACTCTGAGAAACTTGGATAGTGAAATGACCGATATTTTATCCAGTAAAGAACTTGATGATGAACAAAAAGCTAGGCTTTACAATCAAGTGTTGGCAGGGGTACTTGACTTATTACGATCAGCGAAAAGGTCAACCTCTTCATGTGAAAATATCAACCCCCAAAGCAGTAGAAACACCTAAACCAGAAGAAAATGAACAACCTTCGGAAGAACCTGTCCCGGAAAAATTCACTTCATCAGCCGTAGAGGCAGAGGTCATGAAAAGTGTACCCAAAATTTACAAAGCCGGGGCTAGACAATTGTTGGATAAAATTAAAGAGCATCAAGATGTATTGCATTGGAATGATACAGGAGAGCTTTTGTATGAAACCAAACCCATTCCAGGTTCTCATCTGGTGGACCTAGTCAACGACACATTGCGCCACCGTAAAGGATTTGAACCAGTAGGATGGTCGGTGTTTGCGAGGGGTCTGGCCCGAATGAATGTCCCGGAAAATCTAGTGCGTAATACACAGAGGCAAAGTGCTGTTCGAGAATTTAAAGCAAGAGTGAGAGACGAAACCCCTAACAGTCCTTCCCGTTGGCTACCTAGCCCACCTGTGACGGTATCCCCCGTGAAAAAACAGCGGCGAAGAAATGCGAGTCCACGCCCTGAGGCTGTGCGCTGGTTACGGTTATAAAATCACCACGAGAGACATTATTATTATTATTGTAAATCATCTCTTTATTTTGTTCACTCAATAAAAGATGTTGAAAAGAAATTACAAGGTGTTTATTTATTGAACTTTGTGCTGTGCTTGTGCTCTTTGCTTGTTTACATCAGTGCGATATTTCGGAAGACTTATAGGAAAATGTGTTTCAATAAATCGCTTGACAAGACTATCATTTTTACGTGTGTTATTAGAAAAACGATGCACAATTGTACTCATACTTATTTGCCGACTACGATATAAAGCAAAATACAAACAGTACTGTCCACAGACTCTGTAATGTCACAGTATTAAAAATCCACTGGTTAGAATTGTTGTTTAAAAAGGTAGTAAATGTTCCTGAATATTTGCTGGGAGGTGCTCCGTAAGAATCGAAAAATTCTCCCTCTTGCTCCTTGGTGAAATAAAACGCCACCCAATGCGAACCTGGCTTATCACTCGTATCCACATTGGCAATGTATAAAGCGGGTATTGCGAAACACTTGCAGGCAGCTTGTCTGAGGGATACACGCCTTGAAACACACCTCGTGTAAATTTATCCTTTCTCAAAATAAGGGTCAGTTGAATGGTGTCCATTTCTAGTTTGTGTAGTCGTAGAGAACGTTTTGGTTTGCGTCGACCTCAATCACGTTTTGAAATTCAGCGTAGACGATAAGGTTGACCGTGTTGGCGAGTGCTTCCGAGAAATGAAGCTCCAAGCGCAGGTTTCCTTGTTTTATGAGCTCAAAATGATCTCCCGGGCAGTGATCTGGGGTCAAATCAAATGCGAATAAGGTATAACCGGAGCCGTAATCACTTCTATGTATCTGATTGCCCGTATCCTGGGAAAGCTTTCCAATACCAGAGAAAAGACTTTGATAGCCGGCTATCACATTTTGACCACCAGCGGCGTCAAACTTCAGGAACAAAGGTTTTCGGGGAATTTGTTCTCCGTCCACACCCACTTGGAGTTAAATTGTGGTGATTGAAGTTGAAGGGGTTGGTACGGTAACTCCCATTGTAAGTCTCTGTGTCCACTAATCCCAATACTATGCGCTTGGGAATTTGACCCAAAAAGATGTTGTCAGGGTTAAAACTGGTAAATCCTCTTGGAATAGAGAGCACTTTACAGTCGATTCTGCGAATGGGGTACTTGGCGCTGAAGTGTTTTAGCCCAGCTGCATGGCCTAGAATGATAGAAGAGGCAACCTTGACTCTGCGTACAAACAAGATGGCTTCTGTGATAACCACTTTGAAATTAGCTCCGGCTGCTGAGGACACAAGACAAAACACATTCTTGGCTCGGTTCAGTTTGATTCTTAAATTAACTCCATTGAGCATCAACCGGTCTTGAAAGAATATATCACTGTGAATGGGTCCCATCATATCCACCGTATGACTCTCTTTGGTAAACTCATAGCGAGCCTTTAATCCAAGGTTTGCTTCATCGTCTGCAGCCAAGGGGTTCACTACATTCATCTTTCCAGCAGTATCTTTGTAAAACATGGCCATAGAAAGTTGACTTGTTTTAGCTTCTTCTCCGTAGTTCAGCAAAGACTCGATTATGGCACGTTAAGGGTAAGTATTAGTGGATGCAGATATAAGTCGCTCATTCAAGGAAACGTCTACTTGTGAAAACAGAGAATGTAAAAACAGGTTTACGGGACCCACTTGTGTATCGGCGTCTAACGCAGTTCCGTTTGCTTTCGTGATCTTAGCTTTCACATAAAGTTGTGTTCGCGCTAAATCTAATTAGTATATACTAAAACAGTGGATAGTGTTTTTCGCGCGCTCTGATTGGCTACTCAATCAGTGAATATCCTGCACTATTCACTGATTCACCTCCAGTTCCTCCGAGCGAGCGACGCCAAACTCGCGTAAGTTGCGAGCAAAATGCCTTCCCGGTTTCCTGCCGTAAACAAACAAAGAAATTTCACAACTAATCAAGCAAGCTGTTTCCGAATTACACGAAGAAGGTGACGAAGTTCGGATTGGAAGTTTTAACAGGTAAAGCTTTGTCTTTCTGACACGAATTTATCGATAAAACTGGTGAAAAAGTTTTTTGTTTACAAATGCAAATTAAGTTTAAGTCTTGCTTACTTTATTTAGTTGAGTTGTTCATAAATAAGCTTAAAACTAATTTAATAATCTTTTTTTAATAGAATAATTTTAAATACAAAAAGAATTCACAACTCCTTTTGAAGAAATTTCCCCGCAAGAGCTAAACAAATGCGTTCAAAAGTTTTAATTGTCGGCAAGAAAAAGCGACAGCCGCGGCCGCCCGGTCATTACGCGCCAAAATTGTAATCGTTGGCAACAGTATTTGAGTTAAAAATCGTCATTTTTGTGCTCAATTATCTCACTGTTTTAGTATATACTAAAACAATTATTCACCTCAGTGTCGGTGGCTAGTCATGGATATTTACCTCACTGCTTCGCAGTTCGGTATATATCCAGGACTAGCCACCTCCACTTCGGTGAATAATTGTTATATATTCTTCTCCGGTTCCAGATACGTTAAATTCAATAGGACCAGTGTCCGTGATGTTGCTGAGAGGGTGATAGTCAATCCATTACCCTTTGTGAATAGAGGTTTGTGTAGCAGGAATAGCAAAAAGATCGAGCTCTGATTTAGTACACTCGCGTGACTCGTGATGAACGAAGGCCATTCTATTCTTTGTCAAAAAATTCAGTCAAGTTCCCCTTTTTAGGTTTCTTCGCTTGCGGAGATGTCTTTGCTTTCTTGCCGGGAGGCGAACTTATTTTTGAGCCTTGCGCTTTCCTTTTTATAGCTTTTTTGCCCGCTCCAGATTGTCCCTGCAATGAATTCTGGGCAGGTAGACCGAGGGCTTGTTTAGCCTGTTTGCTGATTGCCTTTTTAATGTTATCTCCATCAAGAACATCTTGGGCGACATTGACACCCGTTTGTAAAGCTTTTCTTCCAATCATCTTAGCACCTTGTTGCAGGTGAGGCATCGCCCAGCGGAACAGACCTTTAAATATCGAACCTAAGCCATACCCTCGCTGAAATCGAGCTCCATGAAATGCGGGTAAATTCCCACCTTTTTGTTTGGCTTGATCTACATAGTACTGTTCGTAAAGCTTGTGATTTGGGGCGTGGAGTTTTTTCATTTTTTAAAAGTATTGAGGTCGACTCTGACGAAAATGAAGTGTTAACAACACTCTTCCAAACTCAAATGGCACAGATTCCCCTGTGTCTCGCTTTATATTGACTTCGATGGTCTCAAATTGCTTTCTGCTGACAGGTACATCTTGAGGGCGCAAAAACGATTTACTAACTCGCTGGCCATCCTCTCCTTCTACGGGAACAATTCGAAGCAAAGGGACCAGTGCATCGCCAACATATTGTGACTGAATAAGATCACAGTAAACGAAAAGATCGTGAAAGCCAAATCCACTTGTCTGTCCCCCTTGGTGGTCTTTGAAATAATTTGTTCGGGGGTGAACCCCAGCATATAGGCCATATCATTTAGCGAGACTTCTGCGTTGTTTTTCAAATGAACTGTAACCTTTCTGCTGAGATTATCGTATGAAAACCGTACATCATCTGTATACCGATTTTCATTGTTCACTAACTCTTTCATCTTTTGAAGGACATCCTCGGCGGAAGAATAATGACCCGGAAACATCTCCGGGGAATCCCAAACACCGCGGAGTTTTTCATTTCGAACGTAAAATCGAAACTGTTCAATATTATTCCAACTATGCGGATAATGGATCTCGGTCAAAGCCACTTCCCATTCACCTGTGAGGTTTAGGGTTTGTGGTAAACTAACTCGGTACTCTGTTAATGTGTTATGAGGAAATTTATCAAGACTGCTATTGCTAGGGAGATGCAGATAGAACTGTGTTACCTCCATCGTACCCTGTGTCGAAATGAACTTTTTAATCTGGGTATTCTTAATTTATTAGAAACCGCACACCATTCATTTTATATTTCCTTTTCTTTTATTCACTACACAAAAAACGCATAAATTACAACTTTAAAATATCACTCTCTTGAACCCAGGAATCAAATTTTGGGTCTTCGTATCCTTTCCATCTCACAAGATACTCTACTACTCCTTTACGCTTTCTCTTCCGCAAAATCTTTTCGACGCGGTACACATCATCGTTCTTAATAATTTTCTGCAATTCAGACTCATAAAATGTTCCATCTAAGATTTCACCTGCATCATCTTTTAGTTTATAAACGGGTACTTGACGACCCATTCGCTTGTAAACAGTAAAAATTTCTTCCGTAAAATTAGGTAAGTATGATTTTTCAAACATTCTCTTCACTTTGCTAATCCTGACGCGATCTCCCACTTGAAATTTACATCGCACAGGCTTTTGAACATCATCCCCATACAAAGTATCCCACACTTGAGCCTCATTCGTTTTAGTCACCTGACTCGGTTTCATTTTAATACTTCGGTGGTAGGTGTTATTGTAAGAAGATACTAACTGGGGTAATACATTGATATAGGTGAGAGTGTTTTTGGCCGTGAAATATTTGTACATCTTATTCTTAAATGTTCGGTTAAAACGCTCAACCACAGAGGCTTTCAGCCCAGAGTTAACAGTAAAAAAGTCAATGTTGTTGTCACGCAGAAATTTCTGGAACAAACGATTTAAGAACTCTGTTCCCTGATCCGTCTGCAGTTTGGTAGGTTTTCGACCAGTAGAAAGGATCTTTTGAAAGGCTTTGACCAGTTCTTGACCTTGTTTTTCTTCAAAGGTAACACAAAAGCGTACTTGCTGAAGATATCTATACAAGTCAGTAAGTATTTATAACCCCTGTTGTAGCGACTGAGATTTTGAAGATCGACCAAATCCGCTTGAAATTGGGCATCTATTCCAGGAACGATGACTCGGCTTCTCTTGTAACGTCTTCGCGCGGGCTTGTGAAGAGTATAAACATCTTGCTGACTCAACCATTCTCGGACTTGTTTACGCGATATCTTGTTCTTTCCTTTCTCTTTAACTGCTCTGTAAACAGCATCTAAACCACCGAAACTTGCGGGTTGACTAGGGTCGAGATAAATGCTGGTCAGTGTTTTCTCCATCACAGAACTCGGAATTTTGTACGACCACTCTACCACCACAGCAGACTAATACGTAACGAATGCGGCTAAAGATGTGTTCAAATCCAAAAGTGGACGAAGGAGGACAGGAACCCATCGCTGATGATCGCTACGAAGGTTCAAACCCGAATGATTTCTTTCCTCTTGACGTTTACTTATATAGCTACTCTCGAATCTGGGTGAGAGTGGGCACGAGAAAATTAAATAATAGTTCCCATTCCTCCTCGGTTAATTCTAGCTGATCCGCGAAGTTCAAAAATACCACCAATCGTCCCCAGTTTACTTTTGAAAAGACCTCAGAGTGGAGTTTTTTCAACTTTTCTAGACTCGAACCCGGCATATCTTTAACTTTTTGTTGAAGCATTTCCATTTCACTTGAAGACACTTTCAATGTTTTGGCTTGTGCGCGATACAGAGAAAAGTCGACTCGAAGCAGAGACAGAGAAAGCCCCATCTTGACTAAGACAGAGACAAACACACACTGACTCACAATTTAGATATAAACAAATTTTATTACTTTTAGAAACAAAGCTTCTTTTGAATGTCATTAATTATCAAGTCAAGGTCCATTGGTTGTTCATCTTTCCTCACAACTCTCTCAGGGCATTGCACTTCAACTTGGCTGTCAATTTCCACGGCACTGGGATCTTTGCACTTCAGTCCACAAGGTCCGTAGTAAATAGCATACAGAATTCGATCTTCTAACTCATCATAATCTTCGAGTTCCAAGGAAGTGAGATAGATGTTAGTCCAAGGCAGCTTTGGTAATTCGGTCACGTACGCTTCCCACGTTTTGCCAAGTTTGAACCCAAGAGCACTGCACACACTTTCAGCCGTTTGTAAGATAACATTGAGGACAATTTGTTCCACCACTTCATCATGGTAATACATCCATGCGTCATCATTATCCATCATCAGGCAAGAATGTTGGTTTTGACTTGGGTGTTGAATGGCACAACCGTGGCAGCGATTCAGCTTTTGTTCTTGGATGAGTTTGTCAACCATAGCCGCATAAGTCAGTTGGAACACATGACCGATAAGGCTAGCTACCCGTTGACGTTGGACTTTTTCCACTTCATCTACTGTCAGAAGCGGTGTCGTGCTCGATTCGACTTGCATGTTTGGAGTAATGTTTTAAAAAATATTGGTGATAATAAGACTTTTTCCTTAGCAAAGCGATTGCAAGAATAAAATGCTGAACGGAGAGCGCGCTTTTATGTTGAACACATAATAGATTGTTTACTATCCAATCAGGGTTAAAAGAGCCCGGGCAAGTCTAGGCAAGCCTATTGTTCCTATTGTAGTAGAGTGACGCTCATTAGTAAACCTATCCACTTCATTACATATGGAGGAAGGCACTTAATTAGTATGGAGGAACGCATTTTTCTCTAGGTTATAACAATAGGTGACGTCATGGACTCGACCCTTATGCATATTAATAAAGGGAAGACAGGGGAAGACAGGGGAAGACACTAAAGGGGGTTAATTTCCAACATAGTAGACTACTGCTTATGTTCGGAATTTTACGGTATCTTCGTACAGTTGATGTTTACGCGATCTCAGAGTACAAAGTTTAGAGCTGTACACAGCGTACATTTTATCACAGTATCACTGGGATAAAGCGTTTCATTCTCCAGGAAAATTTCATTTTTTCGTCAAAACAATCACCGACTCAGTGAGACTCGGAGTAGTTTACTTAAAGTTAGTGCTCATTACAGCGAGCGGGGTTATGTTTTGTGAAATTTATCTACAGTCTGCGGCCAACATCACTACGATCCACGATTTATTCATTTCTTTTATTTTCAAGCTTTTTTAACCGATCCCCGATCCTCCATCCTCCATCCTCGTTTTCCAGTAAACCTCGAAGTTTTGCTCATTAAGATTGCGATTGTTCTTTCTTTCGACCACGGAAGTAAGAAATTGTCCCAAAGTAATCAACGCTTTCAAGCGATATAATTCGTGGACCCACCCTTTTCGGAAAAGCCCGATATGAGATTTCTATTCTATGGACATGAAGTGCTGCAAGTAGAGTGCGTGATAGTCAAGTACAAAGCCCGAAAAAGTAGAAAAGTAGTACTCCAAGGTTAAATCATTGATATCTCAAGTATTTATGAAGTACAACGCAACTATCAGTCAAATACATTCAACAAAGTGAATCTATTCATCCGCAGAGTTACAGTAATTGCGACGTTTGGGAGCTTAAGCAACGACGACGGCGACGGCTACGAAAACGTTACAAAACGTGAAATTAGGCATTTTCAAGTTGTAGTCGTGGAACGACGGCAAAGAAATGTACAAAAAAGCGTGATGCACGTGCAAAGGTTTTGTTTTGCCAATCTTAACCTATTGCTTTCTTGTCGTCCTCGTTGACGTTGCCGTCGTCGTCGCTTTAGCTCCCTAATATTCTGAGAATCGTAACGCCTCAATACAATTTTCTCAACCTACTCGGGCTACTTAATTTTTAATACACGTGCATATAAATGACACGGAAATCAAGGGCCTCATTTGGGAATTTACATCATTGCCAACGAACGTGTTCAACTTACATGCGTTATTGTAGTCATCGCCGAAAATAAACCGCATGCTAATCACGCTACATTTTTAGAATCTCGCTAAAGCAAGCTACTCCCAATGCTCTCTCGTGATGATCTGACAACGGCCGTGACGACTGACCGTGACTGTTAGCCAGTGTCCTGGTGTAGCGTGACTATGAAAAAAACCGCTGACCATATTTTTGTACCTTGGTATCCAAGATGGCGACTTGATCAGCTTTTCCGATCAGCTTCACAACTTTTCGGGAACTGAAAATGTTTATCGTTGGATTAACTGGTGGGATAGCAACTGGAAAAAGCACTGTTTCAAAGATATTCAAAGAGTTGGGATGCCAGGTCATAGATGCTGATCAAATTGCTCGAGAAGGTATGCGTTTTAAAGCAACAGGGCATGCGATCTTGCAGCTCTTGGAAGACCTCACGTGATTGGTTTGCAATGGAACCTATTTGTAGCCCGAAAACTAAAGGGTTGTGAGCCATAGGGGTCCAATTAAATTAGAGGTTCTGAAGAGCAGGGCGGTGAAATAATAGCAGTTTACAGTGTGTCACTAGTTTGCCAGAAAGAAAAAGACTTACAAATGAAACGGGGGAAAAGGCACATTCCCTTGAAGACGTTTACCTTGGAGTCTAACATCGATCTGTGCAATTCAGCCAAGATTAAAACAGACAAACAAACAAAACTCCTAGTTCTTGCAAAGGGAGTCATGCCTATTTGTCATTAAATAATTATTACATATGAAATGTTTTAAACAATTATTGGATGAGGTTTTTATGATATCAGCCAAGCCGAAGGCCGAGGTTGATAACACTCACCGAGACCTTGATTATTTAGGTTATCACAAAAACCGAATCTAGTAATTGTTTTTTTATACACTGTTTTGAAGAAAATAACGACTGACACACTGTTGCAAGGAACTTAGCCTGCGAAAACATCCGTTTCTCCTCGCTCTTCGTCGATGGGGATGTTTTGTGCAGAGGAACGTCTGTGACTCAGCGACAGAAATTCCATACTGATGACATAAAATCATATTCACAAACCTCTTTGAAGTGAAGATATGTGCTTTCCACAACAACATTATTAGTACACCTTTTGCTGTTCATTATGAGAAGATACGCAGTCTTTTGCGTGAAACGGCGACCAATAGTGCAAAGATACATTCATTAACGTGAAAATACGAACATTTGCGCATAAATCAGATTCAATTACGATTTTTGCATTTTAATCAACATTCAACAACACTTCTGGGCATTCATATGCGTCATTGGGCATACAAAAGAGAGAAATATACTTTCATTAAGGCCAACATCAAAGTCATTAATACCATCTTGAAAGTCACTACGGACAACTGACATACATTAAAGTGCAAGCACTATTCATTAACATTTTTACAACACTGTTTGCAATTGAATAGCATTCCTGGACAACCTTAGGATGGATAAGACAAACATTAATGTGCTTGTACAATTGAGTGTTCTTTACATTTAATATACAAAAATCGATTTTCAATTAAACAATAGAAATTCAAACAAATTTGGCCCGAATTTCAGTCCGTTAAATGTATATCCCTTAAAAACATTTTGGGAGGTAGGTTTGATGTGGAGGGGGGAAGCATAAGCTGTGTACGTATGGAGCAGGAATGGCCAAATCTAGGTGGCTACCAGGCACCCCGTCATACGCAAAGACCGCCGACTTACCGGGATCCATTTTTTCCCCGCCCGTGGTAGAAAAAGTCACCGAAAAACCGACACAGTATTCATTACTCTAGCAGCTCCCGAGAAAAACATTTGATAGGTACTTAATATTGCCATGGTCATAGACAGGTTTCGTCCTCGTTGGCCGCACACTTGGAGGTACGCCCTCCACTCTCTGTCACGCCCCACCATGACTTCTGGCCGTCTAGGGTAAATGTATAGCCGCAGCCGCCGTCGAAGACACAGTGGCGAAGTACGGCGTGATTCGTTAACCAAATTCAGGCCAATTTTTGGGGGGAATTGGTATTGTTTAATTGAAAATATATTTTTGTATATTAAATGTAAAGAACGCTCAATTGATTGTACAAGCGCATTAATGTTTGTCTCATCCATTCTAAAACTGCTATTGAATTGCAAACAGTGTCATAAAAATGTTAATGAATAGCATTTGCACCTAGATGTTTGTCCATTGTCCCTAATGATTTTCAACATAATGTTAATGACTCGAATGTTGCCATTAATGAAAGTATATTTATGTCTTTTGTATGTCGAATGATGCAAAGGAATGCCCAAAAATGTTATTGAATGTTGATTAAAATGCAAAAATCGTTAAATTGAATCTGATTTACGTGCAAATGTTCGCTTTTTCGCGCTAATGAATGTATCTTCGCGCTGTTGGTCACCTTTTCACGCAAATGAATGCGTATTTTCTCGTAATGAACAGCAAAAGGTGTATTACACTGACTTTCTTTGTTGACAAAAATTAAATTGAGCAACACAGACACTCTTCCTCTAAAAAATCCTGCACATGCAGGCCCCAGTCAGGTGAATATGTTCCAGATCAACAGTTACTATGAGGTGAATAACTGAAATTACAGGCGAATTTTCCTGGACAAGGTTGATCTTTCCTCCTAGTACTAGGGCTGTCACTAAGATAATTTTTCAAGTTGCCAGGTAAATACAACAAGTAGGCGAGGAATCAAACAGCTAGGGATTTCTCTTGGTTCTATTTTTTTTTTCTATTTTCCTATGAAAGTAGGCGGGGGCCACGTTCGTAGTAGCTGGGGGAAATCCCTGGTCCCCACCTCTTAATGACAACCCTTTAGTACTAGCCCATTAAATATCTTAGCCAAGTCTTAATTGTGTGACATTTAATAACTACCTTTTATTATAGATTTAATATGTGTTGCTAGTCATCAGTTCCTTCGAACCCGACAAAGACTGTTGTTGTATTACATCCTTGTTTTACTTTATTCATCGTGTCAAAGGAACCTCACCTACTTTCTAGTCTATTTATGAATTTAATTGACGTATTAAATTCTTGTTATTATTCAGTATAAATGTGACATATGAAACATATGAAAGTTTCACCTCCTATAAAAAATAAACATTCCAGCTATTGGGTAAAAAAAAAGATTTCCATTAGACATGTGCGAAAGAAAAAAAACTTCTATCTCTTAAAATCCCCACTCCTCCCCCCTCATCACTTTTCTAATGGTCCACCCCTTAGCTGTAGGCTCTTAGCCAATGAGAAGGCAGATAATGAATACAATGTATAATAATTTTACTTATTAGTTGTGAAACCTCATCAGCCAGCATGGAAACAATTGGTGAAGAATTTTGGAACTGACATATTACTTCCAAATGATGAGATCGACAGGGAGAAGCTGGGGAAGATTGTCTTTGGTGATGATGCTAAAAGGCGTGTACTTAACAAGTGCACTCACCCTGCTATTTATCAGGCAATCTGGTGGAAACTTGTCAATTACTTTCTTACAGGTATGAATTACTTAAAGTCAAACAATGAACCACAGAAAATTATGGTAATGGTATAAAAACAGAGCAGAACAAAACAAAACTTACAAGATAAAAGGAACCTCAGCTGGTGTACATGTATAGTCTACTGTAAACTACCAGTTATAAGCTCCTCCACATTTACCCCCCCGCCCCCCAGCTATAGGCCCATTTACTTGTGAGCAAGCAATTGCAAGCGCCAATTATAAGCATCCCCCTTCCCCCAGATATAAGCCCCCCTCTACATCAGTGAATTTTATTTATTATGACAATTTAAAGCTTCATGAACAGCCAGTCAATGCAAGATATAATTTAATCACCACTGCTATAGCTTGTTTCGAAGGGCTTTTTCTATTCCAGTTATAAGCACCTCGTATATACGCCCTTGCATTTACAAGGCCTCCTAAAATCCCTTATGAAAATGTATAAGCTTAGGGCTTACAAGTGCATGTGGTACAGTAATTAATTGTTCATAAATGGAGGCAGCATAGCCAAGTGGTAAGAGCTTTGGAATTGTAATCCAGAGCCTGAGAATTGATTCTCGGTAGTCCAAATTTCAACTCCGCAGTCAACTGGTTTGCCTCCAGCCAGTTAAGGTTATTAGCTTTGGGAGCCACAATAAAAATTGCTGGTTTACCAGTAATAATGTGTTACCCCTATAAAGTGAGTTTTTTAATTACGTGTTCTTTATGACCCTACATGTCAGTTGTTTGAAGAAAAGTTTTTGCTTGTTGTTTGCTTGTTTTTCTGATGCCACAATGGCCTATTTGCTCTTAAGTGCCGAGTAAACTACCTCTAGTATTGGTTGTTGTTTCTCACTTTTTCAGTTGCTGCCATACCTCCATACAAAGAATGCCTCTCGAGTGGTTGATTGCAGGTGGTTTCTCACTGCCTTCGCCCCTCGGCTCCTTCCCCATCATTTTTCTTTTTCTTCCCCCGTTCAGCTTTTGCCTGGCTGAAAAAACACACACCAAAAAAAAAAAAACTCCCGCTACACAGGCTATATCTGTTGACAATTAGGTGGCAATGTTAAGAGAAGCAGCAAAAGAAAATTAACAGTGTAAAAGGGAACCTCACTTCTATAAGTTGAAGTCTCAATTTTTGATACATTTTTATTTTCTCTCCACTTTTAAAAGAATTTGTCAGTATTTTTGAAACGTTTATGTCAATTTGTTATAAGAGCAGACTTGTGATTTCCTTTAAGGGAGCACTTTCATGTCTACCTGCAAGGTAAGAGGAGGCATATATCATAGCAGACGGGGTATATCATAGCAGAATGCACTACAAAGCGAAATGTTCATGGGAGATTATGGGTCTTGGAAAAATTGTGCTTTGATATTGAGGACTCTGAAACATTTGTAGTGGTAGAAAAGAATGCTACAGCAGGAAAGGACATACCACATTTATTCGAATAAGCGCTCAACCTCGAATTAGCGCCCAACTTGAATAAGCGCCCATCCTAAAGGCAGAAAAAGTTAATAAGCGCCTTTATCCCGTCTCAGTTGAATTCTTGGAGCCTTAACTCGCGTTTAGAAAGAGAGTGCAAGATTCGAGAAGATATGTAGCAAGAAAGTTGTGCTGCGCGTGCAAAATCGCTGTTTGGCTTTTTGATCTTATTACTTTTTAGACGTTCCCGTTGACGTCGCCCTTGTCGTTGCGTTGCTAGAGCTCGCCAATAGGCTGATTTAGCAACAGAACGGGAACATCAGTTAACGAAGGCGCGCAAATCAAACAGCTGGCTTAACCAATGGCTGAGCGGCAAACTGGGCACCGGAAGTAGAGTTTAGTCCTTTTCGCGTGCTTTGCCGTCGTCAAATGACGTTCCCGATCTGTTTCTCAATCAGCCTAATGTCCTTCAAAAGGGGTCGAAATAAAGACCTACCAGCCTATTCTTTTGCCCTGTCGGCCGCGCGAAGTCTGGGTTACAGCTCACAGTAGAGTCCAGCCTTACCGAGCCGAGAACGCTAAGGGGCAAGGCTAAAGAGACACTTCTTTAATCGCTTCTTTTTAAAATCTGTTTTGTAGGTGAGAGGTTTGTGGTTCTTGACTTACCTTTGTTGTTCGAATCAGGAGTTGCACTGTATGTAACGAAAGAGGTTATTGTAGTATACTGGTAAGTAGACTGCTTGCAGTCCGCCTTTTCTCTTAAATTCTGTCTAGTTCTTATCTCCTCCAGCGCGATTGCAAACCACGACGTTATTATTACAATTAGGCTTTGCCGCTCGCGTGCTTAGGTTTCGCGTGCAGTAACTTTGCAAGGAAAAATAAGAGACTGCTCGCAGTCTAACTGGTAAGGTATAGTGGTGAAGTTAATCACTAAATACCCGGTAATCTTTGCAACGCTAGTATCAGTACCAGCACAGCTAACAGCATCTTTATCACCTACACGAACAAGGTGCATATGATCAGCTTGTGAAATATTGTAAAAAAGAAATTGAACGGCTTGGGCGATAGCAGTCGTAACAAGAAGGCAACACTGATTTAAATGTCCTTATAAAAACATACAAACATCCCTTTGCTATTGTTTAACCTTTTGCTAATGTTGAAGCTTATTTTTCGTGTAATGAATTTTGCGTTTACATGTATTCTGGTGCTATTGCGTGCGTCGTAAATATAGTCACTAGGAGTTAACTGTCTCTTCTGTCATGGCCATTTTAGAAACAGATAAATGTTCATGTTAATTGTATCAACTCGAAAATTCACCATTCGGTCGAAAAAAAATGTAACATCACCTTTTCCCTCACGATTCATCCTCTGTTTTATCATTTTTATTTTTTATTTTTTTCCAGTGACCGGGATACTCAGATGAAACGTTTAATGGAAAGGAATAACTTTAATCAAAGCGAGGCTGAGCAAAGAATAAACGCTCAAATGTCATTGGAGGAGAAGTGCAAGCGGGCCACTTACGTCATAGACAATTCCTCCAGTCGCGAGAGAACTGGTGAACAAGTAAAGAAGCTGTACGAAAAGTTCAACAGATCTTATGCTTACCTCCCTTTGCGAGTTTTCAGTTTATGTGTTGTTTGTTTTGTCACGTGGCTGCTTGTACGGATGGTGAAGCTATACAGCTGACAATAAATCTAACGTACAGTTAAATAACCTCCCGCTTGGGAAAGCAAAGGTGTTATGAAGTCCCAAATCTACCAATTTCTCCAAGAGCCTGACATGACTGATGAAGAAACAAAGTTACCCATGTACCAGGCTCTCAACTAAAGTGCTGAGACCTATAGGGGCCTAGTGAAATTAGGATTAAAAGAGCTGGGACACAGTAGCTTTCCTTTCTTTTCATACGCACGACCGCGGACAACACTGGCCATTTTTTTAGACAAATTTGATAATCCACATTGTACGGTGTGCCATATCAAGTCAGCCAAAGAGATTTGTAATAATTATTTTATTTTTTGGATGACTAGATGTGACAAAATATTGTTTATTTAACGTGTATAATTTTTAAATATTGTAATTATTCTCAACTACGTTTTGTTTAAGATAAAGGAGTCTTTACTTTCTTGTATTGGTATTAGTTTGAGATTTTATTGGCTTGGAAGTAATAGGAACAAGGCGCTGAACATTGCTCTTCGTAACCTGACACCAAGCAAAAAGAAATCGACATCCTCTTCCTGGTAACGTGCCTCGTGCACCTCGAACCACTTTTGTTTTCTTCAGTTCCTTAAGACCATACTTTTAAGTAGTACGTGTTAAAACACGTTCTGCAAACCCCGATTAAAAAGTGCTATGCCATGGCGAGTTTTATTTTTTGGGTCAAGCCGTCGCTAAAATTAAATTATCCGTTGTCATCTTTGATATACCCAGAAACCTTAAAACAAATGTGTCAATCAAACGTTGTTCTTAGATAATTTTATTTTTTGAGAGGCTTTTGCGAACTAACGCTTTTGACCATTAAGACTATCACACAGTTTAGAATCTCAATAATTTTGGAATTACTAGATCAATTCTCAATTGCCCACAGTCGACGTTTTTTCGCAGACTGGTAGTCTCTGAGTAGCTGGTATAATATTTATTAATCCTGGACAGAAATTCACTCTCCTGACTCCATCCTACACCCTCTTGATCATTATACGTTTCTGGGAAACTGCCCTACTTCTCACTAAGGGGAAACTGTTGGCTTAGGGGAGGGCTAGGTAGACAATTTCCCATAAACGTATAGTGACTGAGGCTCTGTTTTTATCACTGATATGGCCAGGTATTAAATGTAATAGGCTTTTTTCAAAGACACCTCAATCCTCTTTTTCTTCTCTCCAAAATTTTGCAAAAACATTCATAGTTTTTCGTTTTTCGGTAGATGGAACTGATTTGTACAAAATGGTAAACTAGATTCGGGGACGAATTTTACTATTCCTGAAAATAAGGATAACTAATTACATGCAAAATTTTGGAGGGAAAACAAAGAGATTGAGGTATTTTTGGTAAAGACTCGTTGCTTTGTATGCAAATGATTGTAAATCCTTCAGATCAGAATGAATAGGCAATTTTCTAAAGAGGATTCAGTATTGATCCGTCATGTGAGAAGTGGGGGAGGGGGGTTGGGGATTAAAGCAATTGGAGAATTTTCTTGTGAAAAAAGCTAATAGAATGAAGTGAGCTTTTTTTATAGATTTTGATTCGGCTTGAAGACTGGCCGATCGTGGAATCAGTCCCTGTGAGTAATTATAATTATGAGTAACACGAGGAGCCGCAAGGAGTAAAATTTCTGTCCCGTAATTTAATCAGTTAAATCATCAAAGTTGACAGGTCTTTCTGATGATCAAAGCGACCGTTCGGTTTACCATTTACACCTTCAGTGCGAAGACTGTCACGGGAACATTAACACCTTCAGGATAATTGCTTGCCATAACAGTGGTAGGTCGCGCGCGTCTGGTCGGTTTCGAAGAACGTGATCGTGACTGTTGTTTTCATTCAGTGACTGTACGCATTGATATGCCAACGTTTAAAACAGACTGCAACATTAAATTTTTGTTATAAAAGCAAAGAAGCTGCCGAGTAGAAACTAAACCGTTCCAGACTTATTCCGTTTCATTCGTGCACTTTCATTTTGATGGGGTCTGTATGATGAATTTACTTCTGCCTTCTAATCCGGCACGTAAACAACATAGAGATAAAACATTCATTTTGCCTTTGTGGAGTAAATTCATCTTAAAAAAGTTAAACTAGTGGACCACTTTCTCCGCGTACTTGTAAAAATAGGCATTTAATATGTCGCGCTACAGTGCGAAAATGTTCTTGTCGTGGATTAGATTTCAGTATACCTGTTGTTAATCTTCATTTCGCGCCAGAATAAATTAGTTTGCGCGCAAAGGGCGTCTAAAAAAATTCACAAGGTTTGTCTCACTTCGAGTCCACCTTCTGGAGATACGCCGGCATGGTAGCTGGAATACATTGCCAAGGCGAAGATCTGGCATTTTTTCCTCCTCGTCTTTTTTTCCCCGCAACGTTTGTTTATATTTGTAGTGAGAATGCCTTGCATATCGGTGGATTTTACTTCAGTCAAGCGGCTTCAGTTCCTGCGGCTTGCTACTCATCATAAAGAAGAGTGCCGGAATCGCTTTGTTCGCCTTTAACAGATTTGTTGTCGAATGCAAGGTAAAAGAACGGACTACTGTAAGGTAAGAATTGAAGTTTAAATTTGTTTCTCGGCGAAAAATAGTGCATACAACTCGTGAAACCCGTGAGTATTACCTCTGTTTAATATACCGGATGTCATGCGATGACCCCTCGCTTTTACGATGGATAAGACGGATACGAACAATAATTTCTTTCGCAACGTTTAGTATAATTTATTTAATATGGAGATCATCTGAGAACGATTTTTCGTTATATATGATTCATTTCTTGGCTTATTCCGGCTACGTGCGAAAAATTAGATGACAATGTTTGTGTGCTATAATTATACTGATAATTTCTTGCACCTTGGAACTCATGAAAGCCAAACTTGTTTAACCCTAGCAAAAAACTCTTTTAATGGAGGAACTCAACCTGATAGTTGCACTAAAAATCTAATAATTGTCACTGCATTTGCAGGCTCTCTGTAACCTCGTGGGTAGAACATACCTGAAGGTTACGTTAATAATAATCACTGCATTTGCTCTCTGTAACCTCGTGGGTAGAACATACCTGAAGGTTACGATAATAATAATCTTTGCATTTTCTCTTTGTAACCTCGTGGGTAGAATATACTTGACGGTTACATTTAATAATAATCACTGCATTTGCTCTCTGTAACCTCGTGGGTAGAACATACCTGAAGGTTACGTAAATAATAATCATTGCACTTTCTCTTTGTAACCTCGTGGGTAGAACATACCTGATGGTTACATTAATAATATCACTGCATTTGCTCTCCGTAACCTCGTGGGTAGAATATACCTGACGGTTACATTTAATAATAATCACTGCATTTTTCTCTGTAACCTCGTGGGTAGAACATACCTGAAGGTTACGTTAATAATAATCATTGCATTTTCTCTTTGTAACCTCGTGGGTAGAATATACCTGACGGTTACATTTAATAATAATCACTACATTTGCTCTCTGTAACCTCGTGGGTAGAACATACCTGAAGGTTGCGTTAATAATAATCATTGCATTTCTCTTTGTAACCTCGTGGGTAGAATATACCCAATGGCTACATTAATAATAATCACTGCATTTGCTGTCCGTAAACTCGTGGGTAGAGTATACCTGATGGTTACATTAATAATAATCATTGCATTTTCTCTTTGTAACCTCGTGGGAAAAAAAAATTAATGCCTCTCTCCTGGAAATTTTGCCGTGTCCTTTCAGCATAGTGATCTTTGGGTAGCGAATTCACGTAAACAAGTAAAACGCTTTTTTTAACAACAGCATTTATATTACTTGGCTTTTTGAGGGAGGTTAAACATTAATGGAATAGAATATAAAAAAAGCTCATAAAGCGGAAAAAGTTATCTTTACAAAATGCGCTTTGACAATGTCAAGGAGTGAAATAAGCTGAGGTTTTGTAGTTAGCCCGAAGAAAACATGTTCCTGCATGAAAAGCAGTTCTGATTCCCTTCTCTTAACTAGAAGAGATGCATATCCCTGTGAACCAGTTTTTTAACCAGGAGCGATTCCCGCTCACTTCTGATACTTTATTGACACGAGTTCCTATTTCAATATATGTCTAATTCAAGCTTAGCCGCGTGATAGCTCTTCATTAGCGAAAAGGTCCAAGTGATATTTTGATTGACGTGTTGTTTTGGATCCTGAGGTTTTTTAACACCTTTTCTCTAGCTTAACTGGCGAAGATATTCTAGGAATTTGCCCTTCAATTCCAAATTCTTTGATGTGCCACCAGATGCCGTGCAAAAATATCACCCCTTGCGGCTCCTCGTGACTGATTTGAAAAGACCTGTACGCTATGAAAAATTTGCTCTTTCTGCGACTGTGAGCTCTTTTAACCTCTCGAAAAATATATCATGCAACAAGCTTGGAAAAAGTACAGACGTACAGGGAGATTCTAAGTTTATAATAACGTGGATACTCAAAAATATTGATCCTGAACGCCGGGAAAAATCCTACGGATCGCTTGAATTCATGAAGCATTAATTTCCTCTAGACAAGCGAACGATTCATTTATTTATTTATTAGCCTTAACCTTAAACTGATGTGTTTTAACGGGTTCTCCTTGGTGAAAGAACCGCCAACAGGTATAAACGTTGGCAGGCAACAACGAATAGGCAGCAGGCCCTTGGCACAGCTCACTGACTTTGTTCCAAGTATTTAACATACCTGATAAAAAATATGAGCAATTTAATTTCACGCACTGGACGAAAAAATGGATTTGCACAAATTTGCTCCTTACAAGAATGGAAATATGTTGCAAAAATATAAAGACTGAGGAGTAAATCTGGGGCAAAGACGTACTACATTTGCATAACAGAAACACCGGCGTTTGTCCCGACCCGACTGACCGCCCCTGGGTCTTTTAATTTCCTGGTATGCGGGAGACATAGTGACGTATATAGTGGCGCGGAGTGGCACTGTGACAGTTTTTTTATTTAACGTATAGCATAGTCACTTCGATCTTTCCCTGATAGGTCTGGAAAGT